GCTTAAAGTTCTTGAAGAATTTAAAGTTCTTTAATTGTCATCTTTGACATAAATCCCAGGCTTGTAAAATCACTTGTTTCTACCTGTAGTGTTTTTATAGTGTGTTGCTCCTTCTTTTTATTTTTATTTTAAAGAGAATAAAACAAAGCAAAACAAAGCAGAACAAAGCAGATCAGAGCAAAACATTGCAAATAATACACGATTGCATAACAAGACAACAAGAAATCAACAGTAGCTACCATAATGTCTCTTGTTTTCTTCTAAATAGTTGTCCATACCTTCATACACAATAAATTAATACAAAACAAAATATCACATAACCAATCAAAACAAAAGAATGAGAGCCTTAAGGGCTTTCAAGACCAAACACTAGGAGATTAATAATGGCTACCATAATGTCTCTTGTTTTCTTCAAAATAGCTGTCCATACCTTCATACATATTGAAATCAAATAATTAAAGACATACTAAAACCAGTCAAAACCAAGAATAAAAGCATTATTGGACTTTGAAACAAAATGATAGGAAATCATCAGTGGCTACCATGATGTCTTGTTTTCTTCATTGTAGTTGTTCATACTATCACACATAAAATCAATTCTTGTAAAGCTCTTAGGTGAAGTTCCAGGTTTATATAAGCCTATACATGTAGGTCTATCCTTTCTGTATCAGAGTGAAAGATAAAACAACAAATAAATATCATTAACAGCTCAAAGCAATAATAATGTAGACTTTCAAAACAAGATGGTAGGAAAATAACAAATTTTGTTATTTTGCATAGTTATCTTCAAAAGAGTTACTCAGATTATTTGATATAGACATGCAAAATTGATCTAATCCTATATGTTAACTGTTTTGTTCCAAGAACTAATAGAATTAGTAGTATAATCATCTTAGTACTCTTAAGTGTGTGTGTGTGTATATATATATATATATATATATATATACAAAATTATATCTCATTTATTTTCCTTTTTTTCTTTTCCCTGAATTATTTTTTCCTCTTTGAGCAGTTTATTACCCTTTCACAACCTTTATTGAAGATTTTGTATCTTATTTACTCTTTCAGTTTCTTGCACTAGATTCTGAGCAAATCAGGCAGCTGCACAGCTGGGTAGGGATTGTTGTGGCAGGCTTCAGCTCACTGACCATGGCTCACGGGTACCTGGAGGTCACTGAGTGGGCTGCTTCTTCTTTACTTGGCAGTCTTATTCAGGAAACTAGAACTTCCCACCTCCATAAGATTTTTTAGAGTGACAATATGCTGATGATTCTTGGTCCCTTTCCCCTCATAGTGAGTCTTCAAGCCTTGGCTTACTTTTTATCTTCAATTCTCATTCATATTTTATTCTACCACATGTATAAATTTGTTTCATTTGCTTTAAATGATAGGCTAAACTGGGACTGAAACTAATAATACTGAATACAGCATTATATGTTAGTTTTGCAATCTGACCTTCTTCTCTATTGAAAAGTAATAAATGGTATCTCTATTTGGGAAAATTCACAGCCGTCCTTATTATGTCTGGCTTCCAAGGAAATAAGCAGCCACTATATCAACCAGTGACCTACTCTGGTTGTCATTTGCCTGTGATTTGAGTTCTACTCCCACTGTTCACATTCCCCACACTTCTTTGCGGCTCTCTTTTTCTGCTTATCATTATTTTCCAGCTATCTCAACTTTCCACTCACTATGGGAAGCAATCATTTACTAGAGATGTTTGCGTGTCAGCTGTGAGCAAAGCAGAGCAGTGGTAAGGGATAAAAGAATACCCCAAGTCATGACATAATACATGTTCTTTACCCCTTCCTGACCCCTGAGAACTTGTGATGCAGTTGGAGAAATAAACCACACATCCAGATCGTTGAGAAGAATGCAGTGCCCAGACTCCTTTGCTCCTGTGTCCCAAGAAAGTAAAGCTCAGTATGGGCTTTGTTGACAATGAGCAAGAGAAAGTTTAGCAAAGAAAGTAGAATTTAAATCTCACAGAATGGGTAGAAGTTGGTTTAACTGGAGGGACAGAGAAGAGTGTTGGGCAGAGGTCAACTTACTACTGGAGAAGTTAAATTACGTAGAGAAGGTAAGACTAGACTGTTGGCAATCAAGAGGAGAAAAACTGGGTTTTAACATTTTTGCAAGGGGCATAGCATTTCAAGAATTGTTCAAAGTTTTATCTATCCTCCTTTAAAATTTAAAATAAAAAGTTTCTCTTTTAAAGTATATTTCAAAGGAGTGATTAGGCAGTGGAGAGAGCCAATAGATATTTTTCAACAGGAAAGTTATATGATAAATGAAATAGTGGTTAATCTTCTAATAATATGTAGATGAATTTGAGGAGTGGAAACAGAGGGGAGAGATCAGAAATGGAGAGACCAACAAATTGCTGTGGTCTTGGCTATGCCTGGTCTGAGTTAAGCTAGGACTGAAGGAACATAGATCTTGGGACCTGGACCTATCTCAGTTCCCATTAGTTTCCTAGGAGCAAACCTTGAATGGAGGACTCATGTGCCAGTGATACAGTTAGGAAGCAGTTTCTATTCTTTAGAAAATAGGAAAGGATTTGGAAAATTAAAACTGAGTACAAATACGAGGCAACAAACATGCCTGAGCATAATCTGACAGGGAAGCTCCCACTTGAGTCAAGGGGCTGGTCTTGAATTTCCTGCATTTCCTTTGTACGGGGTAAGGGGTCAGGAAGAATAAAAACTCCTTGGTATTTTCAACTACTTAAACGTTACAGGCAAAAGCAGTTTAGGAGCCCAAAGGGAGTTTGCTTAAGTGAAACTTGTTTAGTAATGAAAAGTTAAGTATACTGAAAAATGTGGGAACCAGCAGTTTTAAGACTTAAATTCTCTTCTGTCTTAACATTTAGAAGAATATGTTTATAGAAATCAGACAGATTAAGAAAAGAGATGAAAAATAGAAAACAGAGATGTGATATATAAAGCACTAATCTCCAATTTTACTGTTCTTCAGGTGCTGATAATCATCCTAAATTATCCAATAATTCATGCCAGGTTTTATAAGACGTGTAAAGTGTAACCGCAAATGCAAATTATTAACATACATACAACTCCTCCCCATAAAGGAATGACATACTCTATTTCCTGAGGAATTAATGGCTTATAATAAGAATTTGATTGAAATCAACAAGTAGGAACAAAGTACATTCATTAATAGAAAATGGTAGGAATGTTGGGCAGTGTTCAAATGTTCAAACATTGAATCAAATGAATCAAACTGCCTATTTGATATCCATGATCATAATTTTAAAGGGAAACCAGTCTACAAGTTGTGTGGGTTTTGTGTAGTAATATTCATCAGCACAGACACACAGACAGAGGGAATAGCTAAATTTAACCAGACTTGGAAATAAGCTAAGTGAAAGGAAAAAAATTAAAAGAGAAAAATATTAGCAACTAAGTAACTGTAGTGTTTAGGAATCTAGACTAGGTACCAAAACAGGGTAGGATTGATGAAGTTATTGGAAGTCTTGATGTGGCTGTTGAATAAGAAAGACTGGATAATTGAGCTGAAGTTGATGATCAGACAGGAGAGCATTTGAAATGGAAGTGCTGCAGCTCTTCTAGGTGACAAGATCAAGGATGGGTGAGCTCCAGGAAACAATCACTGAAGCTAAGGAGATCAAAAAAACGAGAGCTCTGAGTGTTCAATAGATTATCTAAAAGATGCTAAATTGTCCAAGAATAATGATGGGTATAGACATAAAAGTTTTCAGCTTTGTAGCTCTCTGATTAATCAAATAAAAACACTGGGAAATAAAAATAAAACAAATTGTGCAAAATGTCTTGAATGGATAAGCCATTAACTTTCACAACAGTATTTATTTACTTCGGTACCTAGGTTAAGCATAATGATTATCTAAGTGCCAAATCGTTTTATTTCTACTTACATTGAACATTTATACATACAAAGATAATACAAAAGCTACATGGATCCCCGTTATTAATTATTCAGTGCTTTCCAGGTTTATTAATCAAATGTTGTAAAGTGAGCAAAGAAAGGAATTTTAAATCTATGCAAAGGATAGTAAAAATGCCCTGCACACTTAATTATGTCAAGGAAATAACCTGAGTTAGTGTTGTAGGCGTCTTTTATTTTACATTATTTTGTAATTTGTTGGTTGTAACTCACTTTGTTTGTAAAGGGATTTTTGCTTATATTTATTTCAAATACAGTAAGTCATGATTTCGGGACAAATGACAAACATATTCATGGAAGAGGTGTTCATAGAACAGAGCTACACTACACATAGATTGAGCAGATTGTATGCTCAATTATTTTACACTATATAACTCATTTTAACCTTACATATATTCTCTAGTTCTCTCTTATTTCTCTTACATTGGACTACACAACTTCATGGGAAAATTCATGTGGTCTTTTAAAAAATATTACCTATTTATTTGTGTGTTGTATCATCTACTCTAATGTATCTCAGCTTCTCTTTTTAGTTGTTAGAAGCAACCAAGATGAGATAACTAAAGAATGGAGGGATTTTGTAGGCAGCACTCTACAGAGAGTAGATTAATTGGAAGCCCTGGGTTAAGGAATACATGAGACTAGAACTCCTTTTACTCTTGTGCTTTGGGAAGTAAGCATTTTAGTTTTCATTTTCTCACTTGTGATAAGTTATACTTTCTATTAATATAGTGTGAATATATGAAAAGAACTATAAACCATTAAATTATAGCATGTTTTTCTTATTTAGGCTACCAAAATCATTCAGTAAAAATTGCTGAATAGACCAACCAATTATCTGAGAAATTTAATAATAACATCTTTAGTTTTGCTCGTTTAACTATTATCCACAGAATGACCATGGTAATTGATAAAAAGTAGAAGGATTTGTGCACTGCAAAACTTTTAAAATAATCAGAAAGACTAAAATGTGTTGTATCTGGCCTATGTATTTAAACTTAAGAAAGCTTAATGGGACTTTTATTAGACTTTTAATCCACAGTGGATTGGTATTTCAGGTTGGAATTGTACAATATGGACAAGAAGTAACTCATGAGTTCAACCTCAATAAATACTCATCTACAGAAGAGATACTTGTGGCAGCAAAAAAAATAAGCCAGCGAGGTGGTCGCCAGACTATGACAGCCCTTGGAATAGACACAGCAAGGTATACGAATAAAAACAGGCCCAAAGTAAACAACTATGCAGAATAACTGCTTACAGCTGTGCCCTCAGAGGTTGCTTAAACATTTACATTGGTAATATTTAGTGTCACTTTGTCTAAAATCAGATTCATATTAGTTCCTTGTGAATCAAGTTTTTCTAAAGTGCAATATCATCATCCTTCTTAACCTTTCCTGTTATTGCAAGGATTTCATTAATGGACAGTCAATATTTAAAAATCACTATGCTATACATCAGCATGTTCTTGTGTACTGAATTAATACTTGTTCCATTTATTATTTGTTTTCAGATGCTAAGTCTCAATTTAAAAGAATAAGATATAATTTACTTCTATGCAATATATATTTATATTCTAGTATGTCCATTTATTTGTATTCATTTATTTATTTTTATTAAAGTACAGACAAGAATTTCTAAAATATCTTATTAAATATTATCTCATTTCCAATCATTTTCAGTGCAAAATTTGAGAGAAATTAAAAAGGTCTAAGTATTTGTAATGCTTTGAATTCTTCCATTTCTTATATTCTTTCCAGTTTACAACCCTTCCTTCTTCCTTTCTATAGATTTCTTCAGATAGAAAAATAACTGTGTGGTAAGATTTTGTTCTATAAAGACCTACACACTATCCTCTCACAAGTGTAAAACATTTTGTGTATTTTTCAGTCTCATTCAGTTCTTAGCACTTACTGTTTCTCCCTTTGTTACCATTAAACCTAGCAAACTTCTTTTTTTAAAAAATTTTATTTTGAAAGTAATAAAAATGCAACAGCACAAGACAGAACAAAGCCAATCGAGACAATGCAGTGAAATTGGTACAGAGTTTCACAGTAGGATACTGGGGTAGTAGTAATATGTACTATGGTGTATCTCTTTAACTTCACAATAGTTGTCCAGTCAATTAGGTATAGCAAAATCAAACCAAAAATAGAACATTATAAAACCAATTGAGAACACTGCATACAGCAAAAGAAACAAAACAGTGAAAACAACCTTTGCCTTCAAACAGAAGATAGAAGGAAATCCCCTATATTTGCTATACTGCGTATGGTCATCCTCCCAAGAGATGCTGAGACATCTGTCCCCAGTAGCTATGGGGAGGCAGGCGGGGGGAGGGTGCTTGATTTTCAGCCTGCGTGGCAGTAGGCTCACAGGTAAATGGTTCTCCTCCAGGCCCACGCCATAGGCGCTTACCAAGAGGGTGGCTGAATAAGCTGCCTTAGTCCCACCATGGCCGGATCTCGGGAGCTCTCTAAACCTAGCAAAACTTTTAAACAAAAGCCAAGTAAAACACGATTTTATAAGAAATCCAATAAGCAGTTTGACTCATGTTAAGAATACTTCTGTTAATTCAACTTCTGGACTCTTGTTTAAAGCAGAAGAGCTAATTACCCATGGTCACACTTCATAGTATCTTAAGGTTTAAAATTGTTAAAATGGATACTACAAAGAATTGATTGGATATGTTAATATTTAAAATTTGATGTGCACCTTTAGACTCATAAATGTTAGTAAAACATGTGGATATCATTATATGAGCCCAAGAGAAAGTAACTGCAAGCAGATGGGGCAGTTTTACATTTACCTGCTGATAGGATCTCTGTTTGCAAGCACCGGGAGCATACATATCTAGGTCTCCTGAATATGCCCTCTTCAATAATTAGCAATTGACTGCACATTCAAAGTAAATCAAAGTGTTCTTTGAAAGCTCTGAGCCTGGAAAGAATTGTGCATTTTCCAAAAGTAAACAGTTAAGAGTGAATATTCATCATAGAACACTAACTGAAGAAATAATTAAGCTGCTATTGCTCCTGCATAAATATCACTCTATCACATCCATATGTGGCTTTTGCCTATATATTTCAAGAAATATTATTCATTCTACACAGTTTACTGAGTTTTGAGTGTACGCAAAGTATCTATAGTGATATTGCAGTACTAATTATTTTTTCTCATACATTAGATTTTCATATTTAAATACTTTTTTATTGCTTGTCATTCTTTTCATTCAGAAACAGTTACAAACAATAGTTTTAATTTCTTAGAGTCCATAACCTCTATTTTGTATGCCTTCCAGTTCAATATATATTTCATGTTCCCTTCTCCCTAACCCAAGTCCCAGATTTTCATTCCTGCCAGGGTACGTACAATATTTCATCATTTGCCTGGATTCTGCTGTGCTAAAGAAAGGGACCCTCCTGGGAATTTTAATTTTTAAAGCCACAAAAGAAAGACAATACATAGTTCCATGAAGGAGAGTTGTATACTGGTATTTTGGCGACAAGGGCATTTTGTTAAAGACTATGCTTAAAACAGAAAGCTGTACTCAGAAATTCTGCCACTGGTTACTCTTTCATTATTCAAAGCCAGCCCTGGTTTCAGAGAAAACAGATTTTCTTTAAGGAAAGTCTTTTAATCATCTCCTTCAGCTGATGTTCATTTAGTTCTCTTATGACCTTGATCTTTAAGACAATTAGAAAGTTTTGTTAATCCTCTAAGAAATTAGAATTGCAAAAGGGATCCAGTCTCAGATGGTACTTACATCCAAAGCTTCTTTTAAATCCTAGTCTTTAACATGTGCTTTCTCACCTTTGTTTATTTATGTAAGGAAGTCATAAAATCTTTTTGTATAGTATGTTAATTAAAAACTATTAATACACTTAAAATCTATTGATACACTTAAAAATGATAAGGAAGACCTCTTTGGAGAGGTTACTGCAATGGAATTTTGCAATAGAGGAGAGAGATTGGGTTCAAATTTGAATACGACAAAGACAAGTGGAGATTTATAGCTGTGGATCAGACTGGGAAGTTAGTGGGTGAAAAATTACTAAGAGGAAGAATTAAAGCCAGAGGGATTCGTGCTAGACTGACTCAATATGACTCTTGCTAAAGGCAATACTCAGCATTCAGTACTTCACTTCTGACAGTAGATGCAGGCCTTCTTCCCTGGTTTAACTAAACATTGGATGAAAGTTTTGATCCCTGAAATTCAATTTATTTCAGACACTAACCAGAATCAATGCAGGCATCTTAAGTTAAGGACTCAGTCCCATAATACCGCTCCCTATTTCAGAAGCAATCCACTTCAGACTTCCATCCAGGTTACATACAACTTTTGTCTAACTCGGCTACAAATTTGAGTTTCCTTTGACCCTCTTCTTGGATTTGGTTATTTGCTAGAGTAGCTCAGAGAACTCAGGATTGCATTTTTCTTACTACTATTCATTTATTATCAAATAATACAACTAGGGACATTGAGGCACAAGAGATACTTCGGGCAATGTTTGGGGAAGGGACTCAGTGCTTCTATGCCCTCTCCAGGCATGTCTCCCTTTATGTGCACAGTATCCTGAAACCTCTCTGAACTCCACAGTTCAGGAATTTTTATGGCACTTCATTAAGTGAGCATGACTGATCATTAACTCAATCCCCAGCCTATCTCCAGTGCCTGGAGAATTGAATTAGGGCTGTAAGTTCCAAGCTTCTAATTATACCTTGTCCTTCTGGTGGCCACTCCCACCTAGCAATTCACCAAATTCACCATAGAATAAAAGATACCTTATCACCTAGAAAATCCCAAGGGACTTGGGGCATGTGGTAGGAAGCACGGTGAAGATTGAATGTATGTTTCTTATGTATGTATGTTAAGAAAGTTTAATGGTCATCACTTGAGTAAAGAATGGCTCGTGAATAAGGCAGCACTCGGAGCCAAAAAGATCAAATGATTGTGCTGAAAAAACATGAGCTAAAACTGGAATAAGCAGACCAAAGACAAAGTCCAATGTCAGATCCCAGTCTAGAGGAGGATTCTGTGGAGCCTGACTCAGTTTTAATCAAGGAGACTCTTTGTTAAGTATAAAGGACAGAGATACAGAGTTTATTATCTTTCTTTTGAAAAATTTACAAACAGAAGTTTAAAAACTAGTACAAAATTTTGGGTATCTATTCCACTGATACACGTTTTTTCCCATTTACTTTAAGTCCTTTTAAAGAAAAAAATAATCACAATCAAATCCCTTTGCTGGCACCACCAAAATCCTTGCCTTCTACTCCAAAATGTTTTTGCGTCTTTGCTGGGTATCTATGCTTCAAGTCAAAAGAACTGTGTAAAACATTTGAAGTGTTACTTTAGGAGAGATGTTTCTTTGGCCTATCCCTAACTATAGTTATTCAATGAAACTAAAATATTTAAAGGACAATCACTGCAATGATTGCTGTCCTCTATACCCAAACTAAAAATCTATTTTATATATATATATATATATATATATATATATATATATGTGTGTGTGTGTATATATATATATATATGTGTGTGTGTGTGTGTGTGTATATATATATATATATATGAAATCCTTTCATTGTTTTAGTCCTAATTAACATGTAACCCTTAATTCTAAGACTCCTGTGAGGAAAATATGTTAAATAAAGGAAGTAATGGTGTGTGTATGTGTGTGTGTGTCTAAGATAAAACAAAAAATTATCCATGTCCGTATCATCTCTCTTCTTCCATAAACACTTAGTGAATTAAATTACAATTTCTTTCCTTGCAGTTAGGCTATAGAATTTTTCCTTTCTTTCCATACCACCTCCTCCTAACCTACTTTCAATAATCTATGTCTTAATCCTGAGTTGTCATGGTTTAAATCTGAAATGCACCCCTGCCAAATTCACATGTATGTGAAAGGTGGCTGCGTCAAGAGGCGCTGTGCTGACTTGGTCTGATGAGGTTGGACCTGGTTGGAGGTAGGTCCCTGGAGGTGTGACCTGGAAGGGTGTACTATTCTGGTCTCTGGGTTTAAAAATATCAAATGACATTTACATCTGAAACCTCTCCTCTCTCTCTGCTCTCTGGCTGGCATAGGGACCCTTTTCCCATCCTATTGCTGCCTCGGAGTCATGCACTGAAACCCTGAGCCAAAATAAACCTCTCTTCAAGTTGTGGGTATTTGGTATTGTCTTAAAGACAGGAAAATGATGAAGACACTATTTGAGGCCTAAACCTCCTGGCCTCCAAATAACAGTGTTCTGCTCCACAGACTCAGACACGGCTATCTGTAGTCTTTTACACACATTTCTTCACCCTGTACCCAAAATACTCTCAAGCATTCATAGCCCTACAAATATTCAGCTCTTTTATCTCACTTCCTCATAGGAGAGCATTTCCAAACTGTGCTATGAGCGGAAGAAAAACGATATTTCAAGCATGCACTTCGGTCAGAAGCAGAAGAAAACAGAACTGTCGAGGGAGAGATGGAGTGTTTCTAGAGAGAGGAGCATCTAAGACAGTATTTACAGACCTAACATCTGAGCCGATGCATGTCATAGTCATAGACTTTGTTTCCAAAGAAGAAAATGCTGCTCTCCTTTGTGTGTGGCATATGTAGTGATCAGCTGAATAGTGAGTTCCCATTACTTGAAAAAACCTCCAAAATGATTATTAAAAAGATCATTATGCCTTCCTACTTGAACAGTGGGTATCCATGTTGATCATAGAGGGAAGCACCAGGCCACCTAGAGTTGCTCATGTTAGTTTAGTTTATCACTTTGTCCAACCTTGAAATAATGTTTTACCAGCCACCCTTCTGTCTGTGCTCACTTTAGGAAGGAGGCATTCACTGAAGCCCGGGGCGCCCGAAGAGGAGTAAAAAAAGTCATGGTCATTGTGACTGATGGAGAGTCACACGACAACCATGAATTAAAGAAGGTCATCCAAGACTGTGAAGATGAAAACATTCAGCGATTTTCCATAGCTGTAAGTGCATGGATAAAGATGACTTTTCAAGCTCTTGTGTGAAAATGGGGGCTGTGTGCATATCATGGGAATTTTGAGAAAGAAATTTCTTCATTTGAAAGTAAACTATGTGGGGTAGGTGTCAGTTTTGCTCCCTCCTGTACCATTGATGCACCTAGCTCAGTGCCAACTCAGATATTCAACAGAATCATGAAAGAAAGGAAAGAAGAAAATACATTTAAAAAAGAAAGGAATAGTAAAAATTAGGGAGAAAAGGGAAGAAAGACAAAGGAGGAAGAGGATAGAGAGTGAAAACAAAATGTAGAGATGAAAAGATGAAACAGCTGGAAAGAGTGAAGGATAAAGTGGAGATGGGAAAGAGAAACAAAGAGGAGAAGAGAGGGAAGAAAAGAGAAGAACTGAGAAAGAGGGAGGGAGGGAGGGAAGGAAGGAAGGAAGGAAGGAAGGAAGGAAGGAAGGAAGGATAGATAGAGAGTGGCTATCCTAGACATTAAGCACTGAATTAGCACACTGAAGGTATGCTAGATATTAAATCCATTGCTTATAAATAGTTTTTCCTGAAATTTGAGAGATTGGAATCAAAACATAACTTCTATAATAATCTGTGAAGAGTTAACAGTGACATATTCATTCTTATAGTAGGTCCTGAAATTTATGATGCCCCAAGTTCCCTTCATGCTACAGACAATCCAATAAACCAGAAATTCTTCATGTATACCCTGGACTGTTCTTTCTACTCCATCTCTCTGACACACACACACCACCACCATCTGACCCTGAATCACATGGAGATGTGCTGGTTGGAAACAACTGCCCAAAAAGATTATTGTTGATCTAAGTTTCCTATACTAATGCTGCAAACAATTTCTGTTAAATTTCCTGATTTGGTGCAAGTTCTAAGCTGGCTTTGAGTCTTCTATTCCATGGTCTCTATTTCTGTCACTTAAGGGCATTAGATAGTGTTAAGCAGGGGAATATTTTGTGTTCAGATTGTAATCTTATATGATAATGGCTGTGAGGTTTGTATCACCTACAACATTCCAATGAAAATTAGATCAGAAAGGATCTTAGAATTTCATTCACTTTTCGAACAAAAGATCTGTTGTATGTAAATGAATTGCATACTTTTCATTTGATGCAATTACCTCTTGGAAATTTCAATTATGAATGTTAAAATTAAATTAATTTTAAACTTTAGCAGAACTCCAAAGACTCTACCCTGAGATATTTGAATGGAGTAAAATGAGTAATTTAGAAGTTTTTTTTCCAGCCTCTTCTTATTCATAAAAAATACTTTTATAAGCTATTAGACCCTTGAGTAAAGGACCAAAATACATTTTCTATTTTCATTTTCCTCTGTGATATAAAATAGCTCAAAATTGTACACAAGTCACAGTAACTCCTGTAATTTTTATATATTTTCCTATAAATATATACTTCCATATTATATTTACACATTTTATTTTTATTCTTTAAGCATGTCATTTGGTCATTTTTCTAATAAATTTTATCCACTTGTCACTGTCCTGTCACAAATACCACTAAAGGATAACATTCACATCACAATGGACCACCTCAGTTATGTATGATCCAAAAGTTGTTAGATTAGTTTAATGTGTTTTTCCAACTGCATCAGTTTATAGATCATGTCCATCCAATAGTTAGTCTACAATATGCTAAATAGGAACCAAAAAGGGAAGATGATGATTTTTCAGCCTAGGATGTCACATAATCTATAGAGTAACAGACAGACACAGAATCACATCATTCATTAGTTGCATGGATCTGAAATAAACTCATAGGTAACAAAGCTGTTTGCAAAATGAGTAGTGTGATGTATTCAGAGAAGAGTACGATGGATATGGTAATTTCTCTGGAGCTGGAAGACTCTCTCTCTCTCTGTCCTGCCTTTCCATGCTTATAGTGGTCATGTATCTCCTGCATATAGTGAGATGGCCAATTCTAGGAAGAACATCTTGGTAATCACTTTTGAAGGAGACAGAGGTCTTGTTCAATGTATACAATCAGTGGCTATCAAGTTTCCCTTCCCTATCTCGATTTTCCAGAAGAACTGCCCATTTATTATCAAACAACTTACTTGCTGAGTGCTTTACTACTAACCAGATGGTGATATCACTATCTGGAATAACTTCAAAGACATTTAGAAACTACAATGTTACTTTTGAAGTATCAGATTGCAAAGATACAGCTGTTAATAAACAGGGATATGGAAGTATGAGAGAAAAAAATACAAGATTTCCTTTTACATTTTCCTATACCAAATGGCTGTGTTTATTGAACAGTTAGTATTCTGAAATTCACTGTCACATGAATGTGGAAGTTCATAAAAATTGCAGTGTGCTATGGTACTCTCCATATTCCAGTTTACTGCCAAAACCCTTGAGATCCTCATTTAACCGAGAAAAGTTAAACTATGTTCTTACTGTTTTGTTGTGTCTTAGATTCTTGGCAGCTATAACAGAGGAAATTTAAGCACAGAAAAATTTGTAGCAGAAATAAAATCTATCGCGAGTAAGCCCACTGAAAACCATTTCTTCAACGTCTCTGACGAGCTGGCCCTGGTCACAATTGTTAAAGCTCTGGGAGAAAGAATATTTGCCTTGGAAGGTATGGATTATTTCTTCTAACCCTAGATGTCCTATCTGCAACTCAAAATCAATATAATGGGTTTTTGACATTTATTTCTAACATTTAACCAATGCATTTTTACAGTGTACAATAATGAGCATGGTGCAATTCTGTCATATAAATCTGTCTTTGAGCTGACTATTTCACATAGAATAGTCTCTTTGTGAGGGCATGGCAGTGCTAATGAGAAAGTCCATGAATGCAGTGGTCACTGTAGATGTGGAGCAACAAAAATATCCCCATGTACAGTATTGTACTTTGTTCTTTTTCTGGAACATGGAGCCACGGGCTCAACATTTTGTCTGTTTTCCTATTTCATTTAGGGTGCTATGAGAGTGCTGAAGGGATAACTTCGATGTTCACCCATTTTCTCTGTTTTACTCTTTGCACAACTTAAAAGTCTTCATGGAGCTCTGCCTCACATCCTATGCTGTTGAAACTTCTTTTCACTGTATCTAAATCGTGTTGCTTTGCAGACTTTTTTTTTTTTTTCCCCTGGGGTGGGGAAAAAAACCCAACTGTCTGTTGAAGATGTTGAGTTATGTTGTTCCCTCCTCTTCCTTAGGGGATTTCCAGTTAACAAATTATTCTAGATTTAGATACTTCCTGACAAAAAGCCTTCAGGATTGTCACGCCAAGCAAACTGGCATTTTTCTTTGAAGCCTCTTTCTTTATGTTCCCTGAAGATCTGGAGACTCAGGGAATGTGCACATGTTTCCACTAGGGGGAGAAACCTCAGAGAGTGCTGTAACCCTCATATTGTATCCATATGCAGTAACTCTGTGTGAGGACACGCTATGATGGGGACTGACAGCCCAGCCAGGCTGAATTTCTATAGCTCCCCTTAGCCCTGAGTCCTTTTGCTCTTGTTCCTTAGAAGCAGAAAACTAGAATTCTGTATCAGAAGGAGTTTTTGCTGCTTAAAAAGATCTCACCTACACTATGTTCTGTGTTCAAGTCATTTTAACATGATTTTGGTCTTTCAGCAGCCATCGGGCTGTCCTTTGCCAAAAGGCCAGGTCATGAGCTTACTTGACCTTAAAACAAATTATATATATATATATTCTTTCAAGTTATTCCATACTTTTAACTTTTAATAGCAGAGGTGAACAAACTTAGTAAATAGATAGAACCCAGGCTTGGCAGAAATGAGCACACGTTAGCTGAGGGAAGGGGTCAGTTTGCCTGAAGTAAGATTTCCAGGTTCTTTCTAGCCTAACCACACCAGTGCCCATGCACTTCCAAGTCTCTATATTTACAAACAAAATTATTTTTTAAGGCACTCCACTAATTGAAAATATTTTCCATGTCTTTTGCTGCACTATCAAAGCTAACCAAAGCTGTGTTGACTAGATGGTTCTTTTTCTATCCTAACGAGATTTTTTAAATGGACCTTTTCCGTCCTACTGGGGAAATTTCCATTTCCTACCTTTTTTTTTTTTTTTTTTGTCTTTTTCATTTTTATCGGTACCAGGGATCGAACTGACAACCGCCTGCTTGCAAGGCATGTGCTTATGCCGCTGAGCTAAATCCCCAGGCCCCATTTCCTATCAATATTTATCTTTTGATGGTAAATAGCTGCAATTATCAACATCCATTCACCAAGGACAGTGCCACCTAGCGAGGCAAACACACCAAGGCCTTGCCAAATAAAACCAGGAAATGGGCTAAGATCTCCCTTTCCTGTGAAGGGCTGGAAGGAAGGCTGAAGTTCCTACTGAGAGGCTGCACGGGGGTGAGAGAGGTTGGCTTATCCCCTGGAACAAGGAGCGGCTGAAAGTCAGAAACTCAGACATACAGCAGGCTCTTACCGTGACGTCAGCGGGGCAGGCAAATGTCACATAGCTGCTTTCTGTTTGTTCCCAGCTGAAAACAGAACAGCAGCAGATTTCTGCTCCTAAATTCTTGCCTGTTGGTCTTGCAAATGTCAGAGTACCTGAAAGCAATGTGTGCATAAAAGACAACTTTAAGTAAAAATGTGTTTCAGTCCTTTAGATGACGATTCATACAAGACATTAAAATGATACTTTTGAATTCTTGATTGATTGCTCCACTTAATCTAGTCCTATAAAAAGACAGTCACTAATGTATTTGTTTATAATTTTATGCCTGTAAATAAATAGTAAATATGTTTAATTCCACAATTTGATTCTTTTTCTGCCTCTCTTGGAAAAACAAGCTGACTTTTTAAAAAATTGCTTGTTATTTTTAACTTATCTTCAAGGCCAAATAAATCAGTAACTCCCTCTTGGAAGAAAGTAATTCAACATTCCCTCATTTCCCTCAGGAAGTTGTGGCTTTAAGCGCATGAAAACTTGGAGAAAAATTTGAGAATAGTGTACTTCCATAGAACACTCTGGATTGTTTCTGTATTTCAGTAGAGAACTTCAAAATGGGCACAAAATATTTGAAAAATATGTGCTCAGAAGGCATGTGGCCTGGAACTCTGTCAGAAAGGCTTCCCCCCATCTGTGAGAAAATGCAAACAGGATTTCTTTTTTTTTTTTTTTTTTTTTTTGTCTTTTTTCTTTTTATCGGTACCGGGGATTGAACTCACAACTGCCTGCTTTCAAGGCAGGTGCTTATGCCACTGAGCTAAATCCCCAGCCCCACAAACAGGATTTCTTAAACCCATTATCAAATAATGGAATTCTCAGAGGATTTATGGTCCAAAATATGGATAGGACTGATGTAGCTGGAAAATCTATTTAAATACATAAATGATGAGATTGGGGGTATCATTCAGCAGCATAAGCACCTGCCTAGCAAATGCAATTCTGAGTTTGATTCTTGGTACAAAAAAAAAAAAAAAAAAGAAGAAGAAAAAAAAGAAAATGAAAATTTTTAGTTCTGTAAAATATCAAGTAAGTTTAGTTCTGTAAAATATCAAGTAAGTTTAGTATAGGCAGGGTTTTCAAGTTGTAAAATGAAGCAGAGATTTCCTACTATAGTAATTCAGCTTTAACCATGTGGACGCAAGGCACGCTGGGAACCATCGCATGATGCAGTGTGAGAATGGGGATTCTCCTCTCGCCCAGCAAGGAGGAAGCCAGTGAGAAGATTCTGAACCAGAAAACTTTTGCTCAACTCAGGAATTTTGAGTTGAAAAAGGCATGACTGAAAATGCCCTGAGATATTAAAACTTTTGGTTGGGAAAACTACAGGCTCTACCAGGTCTCTGTGTCTTGCAAGTCAGCAGTGCACTTAAGTCACTGTGAGTTACTTACGGCGGAATTTTTCTGTTACAGCTACAGTTGACCAGTCAGCGGCTTCATTTGAAATGGAAATGTCTCAGACTGGCTTCAGTGCTCATTATTCACAGGTACGTTGATCCCTTAGTAGGAAATGAAATATATTTTCGTAAGATTTCTTGCTCTCAGAATAATGCCCAGCTTGCCACATTACAGTGTGTAGCCCTTCATGGCATGAGCAAGTTATAGGGTCATGATGATGTTTTGTAATTTAATAATGTAAGAAGCACTTTGCAATCTCCTTATTATATCTCATTGTCTAGTACTTATGAATTAGACATCTTGAGCTCTTCCTTTATAAAATACTTATTTTAAAAGAACAATTTGTACTTTCACTGTTTGAATGTTTGATCAATTTTTTCATGCCTAAATCTTGTAACCTGAACAACTACTTCTAAGATAATGATATGCAATATTAATTAGTATTAATTTCTGACCATTTTTGAAATACTGTGTCATTTCTATCCTTTTTGTTTTATTTTTAAAATAAAATACTTTACTTGCTAAAAGTATGGAATTTATCTTTTTCTCACTGTCAAAATATTTAAGAGTCTTGCTAGAATTTCTTAGGATTTTTGTCTTTAAGATTTTTAAAGAATAAACTAGGAAGACAAGGTCAGAAAATGTTCTACTTGTAGTTGATAAAAAAAAAAGCCATTATTGTGTTTCTAAAGGAGCATTGACATTTCAACGTACAATTAATTGTAGTTTATAACCTTGAGAAGTTACTTGCTATGCCTCAGTTTCCTCTTCTGTAAAATGGAGATAATAATAATGGCATCTAACCATAGGGTTTTTGTGAGCATTATGTGAGTTAATGTATTAAATCACTTTGAATGGTACCTATAACTTTGTTAAAGCTAATTGTTTGCTCTTCACATTTTATTAAATATTATGTTTTCTTTTTTACTTGTAAGGACTGGGTCATGCTTGGGGCAGTAGGTGCCTATGACTGGAATGGAACAGTTGTTATGCACAAGGCAAATCAAAACATAATCCCTCAAAATACAACTTTTCAAGTTGGGTCTACCAAAATGAACGAACCACTTGCTTCTTATTTAGGTAAACACTTTATGTAATTATAGAAGCTTGTTTTTCTGTTTTTCCTTTTGGTATTATTTGCTTATATTTCTATAAGTTTAAACCATATTGTAAGATCATTTTGAAGAGTTAGGCAGTTTAAGGTCTTATGAAAGGTTTCAGACACCCAGCTAGCCTTAGTGAGTCAAAGTCAGAAACCTGCAGGTCCTTCCTTCTTAGTAGTAATATCTAATGCAGGCAATAGTAAGCTGCATGCACTTTATGAGATTTCCTTGTGTCTGATATTATCTTTAAATTCAAAAAGAGCTGACCTCTAGAAGTAGAAAAATGAAGCCTCAACTTTGCTGATACTTTAGACACTAGCGTTTCATATTCTCTGTAACTTTTATCATTAGTTTCTTTCTTTGGCTTCTGATTATGAAAAAAAAAAGCGTTTTAAGGCTCTCATACTTTTCTTTAAATAGTGCTATTCACAATCAGAAAGGTGTTTTGAGTTTATACCCAGTGATATAGCATTACCTCACCTTCTAGAGACTTGCCAGAAATGAGGTGTATGTCTGGTACCCTCTTCAGGTCTATACCAGTCTGGAAGATGCCTGGAAGATGTTTCTTTGTCACTGGAAAAAGATTTCCATGAGCAATTGGAAGAGTCTGAATGGAAAAGACTCTCCGCAAATGGTTTCCCATTCTCATTCAACAATTTTTTTTAGTTCCTCTTTTGCTCCAACAATTGTTCTTGGTGCTACAGAAATAGTAGTAATAAAGAAGACAAATACTTTTGCCTCAAAGTGATATATTTAGCAAATTATCATTTCTGTATGGGATTTTTTATGTTCTGGGGGTAGATATTGTTCTCTCTATAAGCCAGTTTCTTTCTATTTTATGAAGAAAGTGGCAGGTCTTTACTGCCACTTTCTTATATGTCCTTATTCAAGAATGTCTATTAAAGCCATAGAGCCAGCAAGAAGAATAAAGAAGAATTAAGAAGAATTAAAAGCCTTAGGTTTAAGATGACTAATAATATAGTCTAATGATAAGCAGACACCATAAGACTTCTAAAACTTTTTGAGACATGTGGAACTGCATCAATGAAAGTCTTATTATCATTCTGCCTTAGTAAGACAACAGCTAAAATATTACATTTTAAGAATCACATGTCCTGGAGACAAAATGGCAAACTCACATGTGACAGTAAGAGATTATTCAGGGAAGGCAGAACCGAAAACATTTCTCTGCTACAAGTCCATCTCTCTCTTCACACATGAAAGAGTTGGAGGGTAGAAAACAAAGTATACATTGCATGTCTTTGAACTATTTGGAAGATTATGGCATTAAATATAAGGGTTGGGCTTAAAACATTTTATCACTAAGAGAGATCTTAGTACATACTCCAACATTAATTAAGAAACTGAAGGATGAGGCAGTTATATTACACTCACCTTTAACATGGCAGAAGCTACAATGTACAATCTATTGTTTGATTCTTATTACAGTGTTCATTTTACCATACAAAATATCTGATTGTGGATTAAGAAAATACTACATAAATACTGAGCATTTTTAATGTGCCAAACATTCAAATGAGTTGAGAATAGCAAGATGAGTAAGGAATATATTTTTTTTGATGAGACAAAATGAAGAAATAAGCAGTCATTATTAGTATGTTATGTGCTATAACAGAAAACTAGCATAGAGGACAGGTGAGATTATGTATCTTCTGTAAGTTCTTCATATCCTACTATTCTATGGGACAATTTTATGTGAAATATTTTGAAATCAAGATCCAGTTTAACCTAAGACCTCTTTCCTAATTGAACAATTATAGACAAAGTTATCTATACATATAATGGATGACCCACAAAGGGTACTACTTTACAGAAGGCATTTGACAATGTATTTGCAGAATCTTAAAAGGGATCACACCACAATGACCTGGAAATTCCACTTTTGCATGTCTAACCTAAGAAATAAATATAGTATTAATGTCACACTGACCCAGAAATTCCATGTCTGACAATCTAACCCAAGAACTAAATCCAGTATTTAAGAATGGCAAGTGCACAGTTATTTCCATTGTGTTGATATTTATGGTATTTGAGGAAATTGCATTATCTTAAATGTGTAAAATTATCAGATAATCAAGTAAGTGGTAAATTACTTAGTGGAATGTTATATATCCATCAGAATAAAGACAAAGCTGCTATTGCTATAATACTGAGGACTTGAAACAAGTATGGTGCTGCCTGTTCAGATAAGGATGTCTCTAAGTCATAGAGACTTGTGTTTGTTTTCAGACTCTGTTGCTGTGACCTTGAACAAATTACCCTGCAAAGCCTCAAATGAATTATTTCTAAAATGGAAAAAACTAGACTGCCTATATAATTTGGGTTGTGACAAAGATTAAATTAAATAATGGATACAAAATGCTTGCTTAGTACTGGGCCAAAAAGATACTTAGCATTCAGGAGATCTTGTTTATGATTTTGTTATGTAGTTACATAATGAACATCTCTCTTACTTTAGTAGCAGGCTAAGTAAATTAATGACCCCAAAGATAGCCATATCCCAGTCTCTGGCCCGATGAATTTTACCTTACATATCAAAAGAGACTTGGTAAATGTAATTAAGTTAAAGATTTTTGAGATGGGAAATTTATCCTGAAATATATGATATATTCCAGTGTAATCAAGTGCCTTTAAAATCAGAGAATTTCTCTACAATGTAGTCAAAAGGAGAAAGAACTGAATAAAAGTGGTCAGAGCGATGCAATGCTGTTGGCCTTCAGCAGAAGGGAGGGAACTCGGGCCATGTGTGGTCTCTAGAACCTACAAAGGACAAGCAAGTAGATTCTCCCCGTAGTCTCCAGAAAAATTATAGTCCTGCTTGCTCTGATTTCAGCCTAGGAATAATTATTCTAGACTTCCAACTTACAGATTTGCAAGATAATACATTCCAATTCCATTGTCACAACCACCAAGTAATTTGTTTTGGCAGTAATAGAAACTTAATGCAGATATATGTAATAAGAGTAGGCAATGTTAATATGTCTTAAAGTAAGTATTGAATATTTATAAAATTAAAGGCATTGTGGGGAGTACACAAATATACGTGACATGGTCACTATTTAGGAAATTTACATATTTTAATGATACTGTAATATTTTTGATATTTTAAATAACTATTGTGTGATTAAATTTATTTAAAACAAGTTAATCTTAGAATCCTAAATCTATTGCTCCCCTAAATCTTCAGTTGATGGTTGGCTAAAGCAAACAGAGAATTTAAGATTTTAGCATATCACTCAAGTAAAAAAACAATAAAACAGGCCTAATTCTTGACCACAATATTTTACAATCTATGAGTCATTTTGTCAACTATACCTAAATAAAAGTGAGGAAAAAAATACTCTTTCCAAAAAACATGTATACGTTATGACTCCTTTATGTTCATAAAAGGAAATTTTTTTATATTTTAACTACAGTGTGCTGAGATGACGTTTTATGTTTCAGAAATCATACCATTGGCTTATTCAGAAGTTAGCATACAAGACATTTTGCCAGCATAAAGTCTAATATTTGTAAGATTTCTTTCAAAATAGAAAAGCACTCAAAAAGGCAGGGGTCAGGGAGTGGAGACTTGTTTTATTTCCAAATGTTATTCTAAATCTGAAATGAGGCTATCAAATGTTTCCTCGTGAAAATAACAAATTAAGGAGAGAGTGACTGTGTCATTCTGAAATGTCTGCAAATTTCAAGATCACAGAAAGAGAGAAGCAGAGTGAAAGGTAGATGCTCAAAAAAATACTCATGTACTAATCTGTAATAATCAGAAAGAAGCAGGAAGCTGTGGAACATTCTCTCAGGGTGTAGTCATGCATTTATCTTCTGCGACCAGATAACGCCTCAGTGTGCTCTTCGGGGTGAGAACGCAGTCGAGATTGTGTTCCCTGCCTCTTCCACAGTTTGTTGTTCTAATGCTGAAGACAGAGTCCAAAGGAAAGGGGAAAAAAGGCATAGAATCAACACAGCCGGAACCGTTTCCCATTACATCACCATCTCACACTTCTTCCAAGAAGGAATTATGAGAACTGACAGAACTTATTCTTCATAAACCCATGCCCAGAGCCATACCATCCATATTTTTCTCTTCTATCGCATGCTTTTCCTTTTTAGGAAGCAATATTAAGTTTGAAGGGTGTTTACTATTTGCCTTTCATTAAAATCATCCTTTACTTGGCCCTGTTTGTCTTTCCTTCTTTATCATTCCCTGAGCTGCAATAAGAAACCACTGGTACCTGAGAGTGATTGTCCCTGTGATATATCAGGTGATATTTGTAGCTATCAAATGCATATTATGAAAGTCAAAGAAATAATCACACATGTGAGTGAAATGCCAGTTAAAATGAGAAATATGAGCCAGGCGGATCACTGTGAGTTTGAGGCTAGTCGGGGCTACAGAGTGAGCCAAACTAGCCTGAAGGACAGAGAGACAGAGACAGAGGGTGCCCCAGAGGGAGAGGAAGAGGAAGAGGAACAGAGAGTGTGTTGTGGGGGGAGAGATTAAAAACCATCCAAGTCTCAAACATAATTTTCAACTTAATTTTAAAAGGGTCACTCACTCATTTTCATGAACAGCTCTGAAAATTACCAAAAGTAATAAAAATAAACATGTATTAACCTTTCCCCATTTATCCCACTCTGTCTTTTGTATGTCTTAGTAGAATGGTATGAAATAATACAGCCTCTTTAGTTTGCACATCTGTCTTTTCCTATATACATATGCATAAACATGACTCTTAAGTGTTTATTTCATAAGCAGTTTTGTGACTAGTAATATAAACATATAATATGTTATATGAAAAGAATGTTTTACTTTCTGTAACATCTAACAGTATAAAAACCTTAAAGAAGGATGAAAAATGAGAATGTGGGAGAAATCTTAATAAAGTATAATATGCCTAAGAAGTTGTTGTTCCTTAGCACTTGTCAGAATGAACACATTTTTGTACAAAATCTTATGTTCTTCTCTTAAAATTTGAAGAAGAAAATTATTGTCTGGTGGTAAAATACTTGCCAAATAAATTGGCACTGTGATGTTTCTCTGAGTTCAAAAGACTGAGTGGTGACATTTTGAAGAATAGCATCCCTTTGTGGTCCCTCTGTGAACAGCCCTGGTTATTAAAACATTTCTTCCTGGAAAGTCAAAATCTAAATGTAGTAAATTTTATCCATAGGTTTAGCTCTGTTCTCCAAAGACAAAGACTAAATCTAATTCTTTATCCAAAAAACAATAATATGACAGAAAGACACACCTCAGGCTCTTCTTAGTATGGACCTGAGCTATCTCTAAAAATGGTACACTATTTATTTCACTCAGAAAATCCTAAAAAGTCATGAAAATTAAAATGTGTAAATCTTCACTTAACTTAGAGAACACCATGAAACTTCCCAGGCCATTAGCGGCATGCACATCTGAAAAGCCACCAAATATCTGAGAAGTGACTTCATGGAGAAATGTGTGTCTTTCCATTTTTACAATGATTAAGTGGGTAGGTGTGTGGGCCTTGGATGGAGAGAGAATGCCCTTAAGTGCTGAAGTGTTGCTGCATATGCTTCCAAATGCACAGGGTAATAATGAGCTTGAGCGTTCATGTGTATATTCTCTGATCATTGATCACATCCAAATGAACAAAGCACCCAAGATGTCAGCTGTACCTGGAGAACACAGGGCCAGTTAACGAGTCCATGACCTTCCCCATCATACTGAGATGATTCTGTCTGGAACAGAACTGGTTTTAAGAAGAGGATATTGCACAGAAAAAAAAAAAAAATCTGTGGCTCGGGAAACAGTTCAAAATAACAGCATGAGGTCCTGAGTTTGATTCCCAGTACAGCCCCCTGCAAAAGCCCTCATGAAAATTAAAGTAAAACCATAAAAAAGATATTAAAAAATTTAAGGTATATAAAAACACAATGAGAAATAATCAAACATATGAAAAACTGTTAAACATCAGCATTAATCAAACACATTAAACACACAAAGGTACTGCTGTTAGACAATGTTTATTGCCAATAAACAACTTTAAATTTAAATAACAATCTCTAGCAAGGTGTAATGAAACTAGTCTCTTATACAATTGTTCACAGAACAATGGAAATGATTTGCTGGATGATATAAGAACCATTAAAAATTTGATCCAGTAATCTATTCTTTGACTTTTATGTCTAAAAAATCCCAAAGAAGAAAATATATTAACTGTTCAAAGAATCTTTGTACACTTGAGTAAGTATAATACCAAAAAATTAAAAAATGTCTAGGTGCTAGTATTCCATCAAGGAATGGCTAGAGTAATAAACACACATTTATGTTCTAGCTCAGATAAACAATCTTCAACTATTTGAAGCTACCCATTGGAACCCAGGGTATAGCTCAGCATCACAGCTCCTGTTGGACAAGCCTGGGGTTCTGAGTTTGATTCCCAATGCCATAAATAAATAAATAAAATTACAACTAAAAATCAAGTAGTAATTCAGAAAGAAAACTTACATTTTCTATAATCTCAACTATATGGCTATCAATTCTATAACAGACGCTAGCATCCACATGAAACATAAGTGGTGAATTAAAGATTGTCAATTTTTGCAGGGTACCTATCATAACTGTCAGATCATTGTGCCTTTAAAGAGTGAAAAACTAACGATTGGCAAGAGGGGGATACATTTTCAGAATAAAGCAACTATGGTAGATGCTAACCTAAACAAATTCTGATATACATTTCCTAATTATTTTTTAAAAGAAGAAGTTGACATAAAATGAAGAAAAAGGTTGTTCCAGCCATTTAAAATGATTCATGTTACACTGCATGCAGATGTTATGAGGACAGGTATATACCTAGAGTCTCTCTTTGTTTAGGTTACACAGTGAACTCTGCCACTGCTTCTGGTGATGTGCTCTATGTTGCGGGACAGCCTCGATACAATCACACAGGCCAGGTCATCATCTATAGGATGGAAGATGGACACATCAAGATTCTGCAGGCATTCCATGGAGAACAGGTAAACAGGAAAAATATTGTTTTAAATTAACCTGTTGTCCTAAACTTTTAAAAAGTAATAAATATTAAATTTCCATTGTGAACAAACCCTTCCACCCCCACTAAATTCTTTAGAAGAAAGAAAAAGATCTGCATCTTTGACCTCATGAACATTTCAGTTGCATGGGGGCAGAGGAAAGATGTATAGATAATAGATGTAGATGTAGATATACAAAATATATACAAGAAAAGAGATCTAAAGACCAAAAAACATAGAATTACCAGCAGCACAAACTTTATATTCAGAAGATACAAAGATTGCTTTAAACTAAAATTAGTGCAGCAAATCTTAAGAGATAAATTTGGGCTGAGTCTCAAAGGAAAGACAGAATATAAATAAGCAGAAAGATAAATGGAAGAGAGTTAAAGAGACATGAACCTCAACTGTATGACGTTTTGAAGTACAAACTAAAAAATTTGGATTATATCCCAGAGGCAATTAGAAATTGTAACATGTAAAACTGAAAATTCTTCTTAGGTTATTTTGAATATTAAAAATAATATAGGAAATAATACACATAATATGTAAATATCAATATTTACTATATTTTTTAGACTGAAACATCTTACTATGCTATTTTTGGTTATTTTTTTAGTTGTAATACCTTGAGTAACTTTTGACCCATCTCATAGTTTTCTGTATTTTCCCACTGTTTCTAAATGAGACTTTATTAACTTTATTCTGCAGTAAAGAGGACTTCTTTTTGGGCTTTTGTAAATATTTCGACTCAGGAAACTATACAGGAAGTGCTGATTCAACTTTGCTCATCTATAGATGTCCCGGCTGAACCTTAGCCCAGCATACAGCCCCGGGGCCAAGGAAACTCACTGCAGGCAGGCCTAAGAGCTGCCTGATTCTAGAGCCTCATGCCCCACAGGAGACAGTGTCCTTTATGATGACCACACAGATCTACCTTCCAGTATATATGTGGTGGGCCTGCCCGTTACAAGATTCACTTCTGGGAAGCCCAAAATACATCATCTCCATCAGGTACTTAGAGGTCATTCATGATTCCTCATGTCGAAAATGCAACATCCCAACCACAGTCCATTTTCACCACCACTAATATTGTTCATAAATAAATTTAGAATTTCATCATCAGGAAAGTAACAGTGTAGCAGAGACCATACTCTTACATACCAGGCTTTTTTGTAATGCTGTGACAAAATACCTCAGATAAACAATTTAAAGAAAAAAATATACTTTTGGCTCACAGTTTCAGAGGTTTCAGTTCATGGTTAGCTGGCTCCATTGTTTTAATAATGATGGGAAGAAAGGTGTGATGGAAGAAAGCTGCTCACCTCATGGCAACAGAAACAGAGAGATAGGGAAAGAGCCAGACAGGAAGCATCAGGGACAAGATATACCTTTCAAAGTTCACCTCCAGAGATCTACTTTTTTTAATCTCCTAATAGCCCATTCAGCTTTGAATACATCAATGAATTAAGACATTGATTAGATTAGCAAACTATTCAGTGATCTCCAGCTCTGAACACTGCTGCAATGAGAATCAAGCCCTCAATATGTGAGTCTTTGGGAAAGACTTCATATTTAAATACTATACTCAAAACTGCTTCAACAATAGAAATAAGGCTATTGTGGTTTAAGGATGAGGGGGAAAAAAACGTAAAAAGAGATGGCAATAAAAATGGAAAAGGATGAGATGTAATAGATATAAGTAAAGTGAAATAAAATGAAACTGAGGAAGTAAAATTAAGCATTTTAGATGACATTTTAGGTCTGTTATAATTTTGTTACAATTGTAATATTTTGTGGAAAATTGCTTATACAAGTAGATGACAGAATCATGAATGATGTGGCATTTTTAATCCTTTCATACCTGAGTTCCATTTTTGGAATGCCCACAACAATAGAGCATAGTAAAATGTTTGTTGCTCAAATTCTTGTTCCTTAGTTTTTTCTAGGTAACATGTATGAATTTCATGCAAAAATTCAAAAAGTTGCAAGTTTTGACACAAGTGGGTCAAAAATGGTGTTGGACTTTAGGTGTATTTACTGTAACAGTAAGCTCAAATTCAGATGCAGGTACCAGGTAAGTCAAGCAAATAGGAAAAGCTGACAGATATAGGCACTCAGAAGTTGGGGAAACCATGATCCAGGTAGACTGCAAATTCTCACTCAGCTAAGAGGGCCATTACCATGTGGGGGTGAATGCCCCGTGTTGCCAAAGTTTACCATATTTTTGTTATGCTCATGATTAATTCCACTATTAAAGAAATACTTTAAACCATTCAAAAATCTGTAAGAAATCTGTAGTACCATCAAAAGTCATCAAAAGAACATTCCAAAGCCAATATCACATTATCTAGCAATACCTTGAAATGTAGACCTGGAGCCTTAGGCAGGAAGACTGAAATGCACAATATGGTGATCATGGTGCTTGGAGGCACTGGTTGTCTAGTGAAAGAGAATGGGAAGAAAATCACAGGCCTGAGCTCTATGAAATGCCAAACTTAGGGGATGAGAGGAGGGAAAGGAGGCAGCAAAAAAAAAAAAAAAAAAAAAAAAAAGACAAGGTCTTCTATAATATAGGAGCAAATTATGAGAGCAAAAATAAAATCATAGAAACTAACACAGGAATGTTATGTAAGCGTTTAGATAGTGTAATGAAATGTAAGTTCCCTGTTTTCCCCTAAAGCGATCCCTATCTTTAAAAGAGAAAATGTAGTACTGCAAGAGATAGCCTCCTTCAATCCTTTCATATTTTTCTATCTCTCATAGCTGCTGGGACAAAACTTAGCAGTAGGTGAGTAAAAGGTCATCTAAGATCACTAGGTAAAATACACCGCAGTATTCCAGGACCTTTCAGCTTCTATTAATGGATTTATTTCCTATTTTCATATTACTATATTTAAGCTTTGTGTGAGCCCGTCCTAGAAGGTTGTCTCCCCTTTGACTCATGGTATTTTCATTTTAAATCACTGCAGTATCACTAATGTAACTTGTGGAGAACAAAAAGCAGTTATAAGGTAAAACTAAAGGGAATCATTCCTCTTATTCTCAAGCTTCAAAATCTATAACCATTGCTCATCCTCAAGGATTGGACATTTAATATTTTTAGATTAAAGATTGCTCAGCTACCTAGTTTTACATTTCTTTGCCTTTGCCAACTAAATCTTGTATCTTTTTCTAGATTGACAGCAGCAAGAGAAATACAGATTTTTAACTTTCTTCAGAACATTGGATGTTCATCAGACTGTTTTGTTTTTTTTCTTGTGCCTTAGATTGGTTCCTATTTTGGCAGTGTTTTAACAACAATTGACATTGACAATGATTCTAACACTGACATCCTTCTCATCGGAGCGCCCATGTACATGGGAACAGAGAAAGAAGAACAAGGAAAAGTATATGTGTATACTCTGAATCAGGTAATGGGAGCTGAGATAGGTGGAAATCCAGGGAAAGTCTTTCTGTCCATTCAATATTATATAGTGCAGTTCTAAATTTTCCTTCACTACAGAAAAGACAGAAAAGTTTTCAAGGTCCATTCATGCCATCAAAGCCTCTGTTTCAAAAGGAAAATTTAGAATTCTAATGTTGTTCTAGCCCTTAGATATTTTTGACTTGGAAATGTAAAGTATATTTTATACCAGAACAGGTGTGATAAAGAAGACAGATCACATCTCCCAGGAACTACTATAGTCTTTGAAATACTTCACTGGGCTGGAGTGAAATTTTGTTCTCGATAATAGATATCATTTATAGGTGAAATCTTGATTTTTTTCACTATGAAATTATGCTGCTATTTATAGCACAGCCAGTGTTTATCTAGCTTTTAAGACTCATATTTTCTCATGTATTATTTTAAAACATAAATTTCATCTCTTTTTTTTTTTCTATTGTATTTTACTTTCTCCTAAACTTTTTTTGAAAGGAGTCTTCCTCTGTTCTCTCTTTTGCCATCCTGTCCAGAAAGTATGGTTTTTCGCACTTTCTAATACTTTTTTGTCCTTGCTGAATGGTTGTCTTCCTCTCCTCTTCAGGGAACTGTAAAGAAAATTTGCCATTTGAACACAATAAGAGAGAATAAAAGGAGCCTTATCAAAGAAGCGCTATGTTGAGTAGAGAAAGGAGCATGACATATGTTGAGAATTTTGAAATTAAGTTCTTTAAGGTTAAAAAGGAGATACTGATTAGATACTCAATAATGCTAAAAGAAACTCCTCTAAGAGTCTCAGTGTATTTTCTCCTAGTGCTTCTAAAATCGGTTCTTTGGGAACCTAACTTTGCTGTCAGATAGGCTCAGTTTTAAAGAAATTTTACAAATATTACCATTGATGCACCAATATTTTTTAATAGCACTGATTTATCATGTACTTTAAAAATCAAGCCTGTCTTTGTAGTGATAGAAGCCCATTAGTATCCTGTTTATCTTCCTTCCAGACTAAGTTTGAATATCAAATGAGCCTGGAACCAATTAAGCAGACTTGCTGCGCATCTCTGAAGCACAATTCATGCACAAAAGAAAACAAAAATGAGCCATGTGGGGCTCGTTTTGGAACAGCTATTGCTGCTGTGAAAGACCTCAATCTTGATGGATTTAATGACATTGTGATAGGCGCTCCCCTGGAAGATGATCACGCTGGAGCTGTATACATTTATCACGGCAGTGGTAAAACCATAAGGAAAGAGTACGCACAAGTAAGCAGCGAAACCGACAGATTCCTGCTCATCACTGCTAAGTGGATTTTATGCCGGGCACTACCTGTCTTGTTTCATGAGTAATTTAATTTCTGACTCTATTTGGAAACCAGATTTAATCTTCTCCTGAGCATTCTTTATAGAGGAATTACTTTATATTTTATACTTCCATCTATTTTTTCTATGTAAGCTTAAATATTGCATTGTTTCTTTTATATGAGAAACCCAAAACATAAATAAAAAGCAAAGTAAAAGATAGGTAACAGAAAATAGGAGATAGATATTTTGCAAAAGGGGAAGGGACTAAAAAGTAGGGGAAGGAGGAGAACGAATTAAAAAAAGAATTAAGACGTATTACTATAGGCTGGGGATTTATTTCAGTAGCATAAATGCCTGCCTGGCAAGCAGTCATGAGTTCAATCCCCGGTACAAAGAGAGAGAGAGAGAGAGACAGAGAGAGAGAGAGAGAGAGAGAGAGAGAGAGAGAGAGAGAGACAGACAGACAGAGAGACAGAGACAGAGACAGAGACAGAGACAGACAGACAGTACTATAAACATGTACCAGCTCCCCAGGAAGACTAATCATTATATACTGCAAAATCTTACTAACAGAAACTAAAAACTATCTCCAGAGTTTAGAAAAACAAGACAAAGCAAATAAAAGTCACTTTGTAACAATGCTACTCTACATCTGCAGTATATTTCATCCCAAGAATATTCCTTTCTGAATAATAGAATAATTATATGAATTAGACAATAAAAGAGATGAGAGTATTGCTTTTATACTTTTATACTTGATGCTCAATATGTTATAATGAAATTGAATTAAATTTATACTTATGAATTAAATTAGTATATTTTCATCAAATGAATTTTGTCTTATCAAAGTTTAAAATTTTCTCACAAGTAACCTTCTTGGAAAAGTTTTGAAAAATTAAATTTAACCTGCAGGGGATTTTTGTTGCTTCTGTTTTAAATTTATTGTTAGTTACTGGCTCTCATTTATATATTTAATTTCTTCAGGCATGAGAAAAATATTAAAGAATCTCAATGCAGTGTAAAATCATGAGAGTTTTATAGAGATCCAATGCAATCATCTGCTTTTTTGTAATCATACCATAGCCATTGAACAACTGCTTATGAGCAAACATAATTGAACACTTTCTAGTTTATGTTCTGTGAAAAGAAATCTAAACTTTACTTCTTTTCATGTTTGAGTAGTGTCTGCTTCTGTAGTCAACAGAGTTTCTAGAATCTATTAATCTATTACGAAGTTGTCTTTATCTTACACGGTCATAATAATAGTGGAAAAAAAGGGCTCAGTAACAACACTTCTGTCTATTTCATAAATGATCAATTTCTGTTAAAAATCTTCATGTGTCAGGTTCAGTGGTGCACATATCTACTTCCAACTACTCAGGAGGCCAAGAAAGAATCACAAGTTCAAAACCAGTCTGAACAGCTCAACAAGATTACTAATAAATAATTTAAAATAAAATAAAATTTTAAAAAGGGTTTGGGATATAGCTCAGTGGCCAAATCCTTGTTTAGTATGCAAGAGGTCCTGAGTTTAATCTTTTACAGTAAAAAAAATCTTTATAGCACTATATACTTAACTAAAACTGGGCAATATAGGATCAAGAAACACAGGAAGAGATTTTGTTTACTGAGTGTTAGCACTTTACTCCTTGAGTACTAATCCTAAAAATGTAATAGAATGGCATTTGAAGTAAAAATAAACATTTTAAATCATTTAATAGAATAGATTTTCATAAAAGATGTATTTTGTAAGTTAGTGATAAATTAGGTATGGTTCGCAACAAACAAAACAGAACATTTGTTATAGATTTGTTTAGATACAGGCAAAATTCTTTCCCAAGGAATAAGTGAGGATCTGGCTTACTGATTTCTGTGAGAACCAGAGATGCTGCTAATATGCAGAATGATCCAGAACCGACTGCTAAATCAGGAACATATCATACATGGTAATGTGCACAGATCAGCCTTCAAGAAATTCACATTCTCTGTGCCTTCTCTACATTCTAGATCCATGTGAATATAATTTTTGATAGACAATAAAGAACACTGTGTAATTGGGGTATGCATTTAATAGACTATATTATTTATAACCAGCAAAATTTAGCAAATCCCAATTTGACACCTAGAATAATCCACTCCTGTGCTCAATTGTATTGATATGTTTTCAAGGTTTCTGGTGCCTTTAAATATCTCTGTGTAAGCACAATGAAAAGGATCTAGAAAGTAGAGCCAGTTGCTTATGTTTCTCTCTAAATGCTTGCCAGGCAGGCATTTATGCTACTGAAGTAAATCCCTAGCCTATAGTAATACATTAAACAAAACAACATTATATATTTTTTACTTTTTTTTCTAATGTCAACAAAAATGTAACCCAGAAATGAGTTGGTCTGTACAATAAAAAGAATAATGTCATTTGAGAACACCTGAAAATTTCCTCCTTTTTCCATATGAAGTATTTCTTAGTTCCCAAAAGAGCTTTTAATTTTTTGTTAACCAATCTAAATTCTCAAGTTTATTTGAAACTGTTTTAACAGTCTTCTGAAATGAAACTCTATGTTAAAATTTTCACAGCGTATTCCATCAGGCGGAGATGGCAAGACACTGAAATTTTTTGGTCAGTCTATCCACGGAGAAATGGATTTAAATGGTGATGGGTTGACTGATGTGACAATTGGGGGTCTTGGTGGTGCAGCCCTTTTCTGGTACGTATTTTGTAATTTGCTCCTATTTCACAGATAGCCCCAGATCTCAGCATATGACTGGAGCTCATGCCTTACCAAATGTCTATTTCTTTTTCTACTCCATTAAATAGATCCAAGCTATTTACTTGAGAAGGTGATAGATAGGCTTAATTGTCAAATTTTTGGCTTGGAGCAGTGCAGGGAATTAGAAGGACACGTCTGGCTGGGTCTGTGTGATCCTTAGAGGCATGATCTTGGAGTTTATATCTGGTCCCTTAATTTCTCCTCTTTGCTGCTATTCTGCTGTGCCTTGGCTACCATGAAAGCAGCATTACTGCGCCACACATTGCCACCATGATATTTCTGCCTAGGAGCCAGCGAATCATGATCTCAATGAAACTATGAACCAAAAAAAAACATTTCCTTCTTTAGGCTATGACTTCTCAGTTTTTGTTCCTAGAAACAGGAAAGCTGACTAATACTAGGAAGGTACAGGGAGGACAGACTTTTCTAGGAGAGGTGTATAATCAAGAAATTATCCCTACTTTTGAATTCTGTATGAGCTTTCAGGGATAATTGACTCTCCTTTCATTTACGTGATCCTCAGAAGCAGATACAGCTTCTGCCAAAGCCCAGGCTCTATTAACAGCAGAATGAAGCAAACAAGGATAATGGAACATAAAGTATTGCAATGCTAAAGCAGGTGCTAACTGGACACAAATGAAAAGCAAAGTGCAGAGATGATCAAAGCTGTGTGGAGGCAGATAACAAGAGCCTTGTCACCTGGACTAAACCAAAACATGGCCCATGTAAAGATGCCATTGGATCAGTCAGGCTGTGTGAGGTAGACAGTGATCAGGGCAGCCTCATGTATTCCATGTACTAAACAGGAAGTTAAGCATGTTCATTCATTTATTCTGATAACAGCGAAAACTGGCAAAAACTAAGAAAATATTTGTACATATTTCAAGGTCTTAGAATATTCAAAACTTAAAAGAATTTACTTCTTAAAATGATTTTTAAATATGTAATCTAGAAATATGGTTAAAGAGGTATTATCTTTAGAGTAATCATACTATTGTATTAATAACCATTATTTTTAGAAAAAGAAAGCTAAATATCCAATGACAGAGAAGTGAACACATAAATTATGATATATGCATGTGCTGATATTGTAGGCTGGCATTAAAAATAAAACACTCAGAGAAATATAAATATTGGAAAGCTGTTCAGTATAAGCTAAAAATATGCATGTATACATATGTGTGTGTGTATATATATACATATACATATATATATATATATATATATATATATAACAGTATGTATGTATATATATGTTGCTATCCTTCTGCAAAGACAAAACACTTAGGGTACTAAATGTTGCTGATAATTATTGCTGAGTGGTAGACATAAATTACTGTGTTTTCTTTATGCACTTCCATATTTTGTCATGCTTTATATGAGTAAATTGTTGTAAGAAAAAAGTACCAGTTTTCAAATGCAAAAGCATAACCAGAGACATTAATATTCAGAACATATCTAGTATAAAGAATTGGCTCTGCTCCCAAAACAGGAAGCAAGTAAAGATGCCCAGCACTATTCTGACTTCATTCAAAGGCAGTGACCTCAAGTTCCTCAAATTCTTTCTACCTAAAATTTCATTTTGCCACCATTTTGGAACAGTGCACATTCCTGAGCTTTAGAGTCAAAGGGACCACCTTTTTCCTTCTTAACAGCTCTTGATCTTGGATAAAAGTTCAAAGTCTCAGTTACTTTAGTTACCTCATATACAAAATAAAGGTAAAGCATCATCACTTATCTATGGAGGTGCTTTACAAGACCCCCAGTGAATACCTGAAACCTCAGATAGTAACAGATTTTAAATGTGATGGTGCACTGTCAACCTAGAAACTGAGGTGGCCACTAAGTAAGGAGTTGATAGGATATAGAATGTGGATGCACTGGACACAAGAATGCTTCTACCCCAGGTAGGACAGACCAGGAAGTTACAAGATCATGTTACTCGGAGCACACAGATTACAATGCATGAATTATATCTTTCTGGAATTTTCTGTTTAATTTTTTTATCATGGTGAGCACATATAACTGAAACAGTGAAAAGCAAAACTGGATAAGAGGAAGGCCAGTGTGTTTCTTATTATTAAAGGTAATTTAAGAATTAAATGAAATAACAGACATAGCTAATTTAATGGTCCTACTTACTCTTCCCAGAAACAAACAGGGCTGAATCCACAATAATAGGTATTACAGTCCATGTGAAAGTTAACAGGAACATTCCAAGGTTTCTAGAGGTCTCTGGACTAAATTGGAATTTTAGAAATACCCCAAACAGTTTTATTTCTGAGCTTGTACTTGGGCACTAGTTTGCATCTCTTTTCCATTACAAGCGAAACCAGGTCTTTGGCCTTTGAACCGAATGCCCTGAATAGTCTAAAGCAATCTGGGTCTCCTCAGAAAATACGACATAATCTCCTCTGTACTAAAGAATGGATTCCTGAGAGCCCATTTGGTATACAAAGGAGAATCTTCCCCGATGCAGCCACACTGCACTCTCAAGTGGATGACATTTATTAAATGTAAAATGTGCAAGAAATCCCCATTATTATTTATGTGTTTCTAGGTCCCGGGATGTGGCTGTCGTTGAAGTCTCCATGAATTTTGAACCCAATAAAGTGAATATTCAAAAGAAAAACTGCCGTGTAGAGGGCAAAGAAACAGTGTGCATAAACGCTACAATGTGTTTTGATGTGAAACTGAGGTCTAAGGAAGACTCCATATATGAAGCTGGTAAGCATAATCATTATAGCTAATTCTTTTGGGCAAAGGATGATGTATTTGCTCCAGCATGAGATCCAGTAGGATACTGTAGTTGCCCCAGCCATGGTGAAATCCCCATTACACTTCCATCATAGCTACTGAAAACAGTTCTGCTGTATAAAGAATAGATTTCAGAACCCAGGTAACTCTGTTAAGAAAAAAATTACATGCTTGTGTACACCAATCTTACCTAGTTGTCCTCTGGCAACATTATACTGTCTGCTGGCTCTTATTTACAATGAACAATCAGGTACTAAGATACAGAGAGGCAGCATTTAGAAATACTTAAGTTAGCTTCCTTTGGCTTTCTGAGAAGCATTTTCTCCCTTTTCCTGCCCCCTGCTGGAAGAGCCTGATATTACACAGGACTAGCACACTTGGCAGGCCAGAATTCCCTTACATTGAGAAGATGCTGCTGGTTTTATAGTAAGACTTGTTCTTTGTGGGGTGCGCAGTTCATCATGTCAGCCTTTGCTGTGCTTTCTAAACGGGTTTTAAATGATGTTTAAATATGTTGACATCAAAGCTATAAAGGTCATTGCCTGCAAAAGAGTGATATACTTTGCAAACAGTATAAGTACAATGAGAAAATAGAATAATCCTTACGTCCAATTTTTCTCCTCATGAATATATATGCTCTAAATAGTCCCCTGACTAGAAGGTAAATGAAATATAGGAATGAAAATAATGATTTAAGTTTCAATATACAGCATTATTTTGGTCTTATTTAATTTTTGTTAACTAGATAATCAAATGAAGATTATAACTCTCATACAAAGCATCATTTCACTTTTTTCCTCATTGTGATATTCTTATTTTAGTGACTAGTGCTTTGAACATAATCTAAGATGAATCTGTTATTTTAAAAAAGATAAAATATTAGTACTTATTTTGTCTCTATTGAAATATAACACAATATTCCAGGCAGTATTCCAGTAATTCTAAACTAAAACAAATATTTTAAAGGAAAATCTAGTGAACACACACATACTCAGTAAGTTAGAATGTGCATATGCATGTGTGAGCTTTTATTAAAAAGAAGCATTATTAAACATTAGGAGCATAGTGAACATAAACCAGTTCTGTAACAGTGCCTCAGGGTTATCTTTGTGACAGCTGATGGTACCGTATTAATGTAGATAATTTCATTGACTGGTTACTCAAGAGATTTTTCTACATTGCTAGTTTAATGAGTTGAGTCATATGAAAGTCACCTTCAAGTAAACATGTATGTCAATTTTTCTTTTACTTTTACAGATTTGCAGTACCGTGTGACCCTAGATTCTCTAAGACAGATATCACGAAGCTTTTTCTCTGGAACTCAGGAAAGAAAGATTCAAAGAAACATCACAGTTCGAGAATCCAAATGCGTTAAGCACTCCTTCTACATGTTGGCAAGTAAATCATATATTACAGGTGCCTTATTCCAAATTAAGAATATAGTATAGATGTCTTGCTTCAAGTCAGTAAAGAGTTTACTCTTCTATTTCAACATGCGCAATATTAATTTCATTGTTTGTTCATTCTTATCAGAAAAATCACAAGTCTGATTTTATTATTTCCAAATATATTTTATAAAAACCACCATTGGTCTTCCTCATATCAATCAGACATTCATGTAATAACTGACAAGAAACCTTTTTCATTTATTCTTTTTTCATTCATTCATTCATTTATTCAGTTTGAAAGTGTTATTTAACTTATGTGAGCCTCTTCTGTCAAATGTATGATAAGTGATAAACTAATTGTCCTGAAGAAATTAATGAGGCATATGCTCCAGTGAAATATGTAACTTGCCCTTTGAGTTGAGAGGAACAAAATTCTGGTATTTTCTGGGATCTCAGGCTTTGTGCTACTTCAGTGTTTTTCTATTTCAGTGAATCAGAGAGGCTTGAAAAGTAAATTATTAATCTCTAGAGATTGTGGGTAACCAATTTGAATCATTTTTAGATATATTTTATTGGGATATTGCATATGTGGAAAATGTTACCAGTGGGGGCCAGGAATTCCTTAAACATTTTCTTAAAATACATATGATTGTATTTTGTAAGAAAACAGAATGGAGGTAATGAAGAAATACTGATTTTAGCACACAAAATTAAGACTTAAGAGACTTAAGCATGACCTTAATATCTTAAACAATCAAGGATGATTTTCCTTCCCTTGACTTTTTTCCATGTATTTCATTTACTTGTTTTTTACATTTGCAAATTTTAAACCATAAAAATGACAGAAACTGTGCATCCTAGTGTATGCATTTATTCTTTCTCATTGATTTTCATGTCAATAGTTGTCTCTTAACACTAATATCTAACTATGATCTGAGAAAATAAAACTGAAATTATTCCTCCTATTTAATTTCTCAAAAGTGAACATTTAGGAGTTATAACATATATACAATTTGATGCACTGGGCTGGGGATTTAGTGCAGCGGCATATGCACCTGCCTTGCAAGTGTGTGGTCGTGAGTTTGATCCCTGGTACCGATAAAAAAGAAAAAGACACAAAAAAATTTGATGCACTGCCTGTAATCTACTGAAAGTGAGTGCAGTCTGTGTTCATAAGTTCAATGTCCATGCTGTGTCTAGGTACTGTGTTTAAAGGAATGGACTAATTTCAAAAGTTCCAAAATTCCTTTGGATTTTAATGAATATTTTAACATTCATTCTGTAGTCAGATTTCCCACATTCTGAGTGACTGTGGTAAGATCATAAGGTCATTTAGTCTTAAAGGTTCAATTTATGATTTATAAAATAAGAACCCTAATAGTTATTCACTTTTGAGTAATACTGAAATAATTCACAATAATATATATGCAGCTCATAATTGTGGACACTGTGGATGAAGATTATTGATGACAGCATTAATATTAGTCATTATTATTTACATATGAGTTTACATTATAAAATTCTCATAGAACTATATACATATTATATATATATATATATATATATACACACACATATATATATGCATATATATATTTGTGGATATGCCACATTTTTTAATGGTGGTGCTGAGGAATGAGCATGCCTTATGCATGCCAGCAGAGGCTCTACCACTGACCCACATCCCCAGCCGCTATATATATATATATATATATATATATATATATAATATTATATATAGATATGTAACTCAATTTAAAGAACATTTGGAAGACCTTCCTGTAAGTACTGTATTATACACTGATTTTTAGCTGAGGTCTCAAGAGAAATGATATTAAACAATTACCATGTATCCCATCCCACCAGTAGCCCCTTCTGATTAGCTGCAGTGAATCAACTGGTCACAGATTGAGGTCTCCACTTTCCATCTATGTCCCTTGTCAAAGCAGAAAATCTGTCCCTTTCCAGAGAAGCAAAAGCCTCATGAGGTCACGCACGAAAAGGTTCTATAAAACTTAAGGTCGAAAAAAGCCAGATCAGGACATCAAACAAATGTGACACTAATGACATATTGTTATGTTTCAACCTCTAGGACAAGCATGACTTTCAGGACTCCGTAAGAGTAACTGTGGATTTTAACCTTACTGATCCAGAAAATGGGCCTGTTCTTGATGATTCTTTACCTAACTTGGTACATGAATATGTAAGTCAGAAGTCAGAATAACAGTTTGTGAATGTAATAGGGAAAGGTTGAAATACAGAAATACATAGCCCTAAATCAATAATGTGTATACGTGCATATAAAAATTAGCCTTTTTCACTCATTTCCAGTCCTTCTTACTTCCTGTTGTGGGAGTTTAGGGAATTAATAAATAATACCATTTTTTTCTTTTCAACCTCATCTAAATTGAGGCCCAATTGAAAGAAATTTCTTCTTTTAACCTAATACATACTGGGTTGTAGGTCACAGTTTAAGTATCCTTAGTGACCTTGTACTGAACTTTGTGCTTAGACCACAAACAGCAAGTCATCAACATTGCTGATCAGTACCTGACTTTCTCGATTGTGAGCCACTTGTAATACACAAAAGGTAGAGGTGCTGGGCAGAATGTGTTTTCTTGGTTACACTGCTACTGTAAGAGCAAAATATTGTGAAGAGACCGAGCTGTGTTCTCCCACGCTTGCTTCTGGTCTCAGAGTCCACTGTTCCACACCAGTTAGTGAGTGAGCAATCAGAGAAGCAGCAGGACAGCACCAATGGAGGAATGAGCTTTCCCCATAGATCTGTCTTCCACTCTCCCTTCCCAGCTTCCAAATCCATTTATTGTCTCACATGTACCAGACACAGAGATTACAGTCTAACCCAGAGATCGGTTGCTGTGAAGGAGAGTGTTCAGGCTCCTCGGGAACTTCTGTGTCACCGGAGGATTCCAGCAGAACACCCTGAGGTTGTGAGCTGAAGGACGGGGTGATTTTTCATGTTATTTAGAGGAGACAGGGGAGCAAAGGGGATACAGAGGGTCCTGAGATATCCAGAAACCTGATGTGTCTGAAACTAATGCACAAGACTGATGTGAGAGCGGGACAGAGGCAAAGGCAAGCGCCAGATCCTTCAATACTTGGTGCCGCTGGGCAGATTTTAAACTTTTTTTTAAAAGACAGTGCAATGGTATTGAAAGTTTCACTTTGGTTTAACGGTGGGATTGCATGTGTATTTTTAAGGAGTAGTTCAAGCACAATATGAAGAATGATTGGAGGGAAATAAGAGTGGGTGAAGACTAGCAGGGAGGCTGTTACTCCGTAACATATCTCGACACTGGTCATTTCTGCTGCACAGACTAATAGATAATTTTCAGTGATGCTTAAGTCTAGCTTGAAAACTGTTTCTTATGACTGTTTCAGATTCCCTTTGCCAAAGATTGTGGAAACAAGGAAAAATGTATTTCAGATCTTACCCTGGATGTATCCACCACAGAAAAGGGCCTGTTTATTGTCAAGTCTCAGAATGACAAGTTCAACATTAGCATCACAGTCAAAAATAAAGGTGACAGTGCTTATAACACCAGAACAATAGCACAGTACTCTCCAAATCTAATTTTTTCAGGAATTGAGGTAAAAACATAAACTTTTACTTATTCCTTGTTATAACCACCATTTATTAAATATACTTTTGTTGTATTACTGAGATATTTTTATTATATTACTTCTCTAAGAATAGAATGTTGTAAAATTCAAATCAGTATACATTAGTACTGAAAAACTAGTATACATTAATTCCAAAAATACCAACTTTTTAAAATTTTTTTGCGTTATTTTTTGAAGATGCCTCTTCAGATAACTGAGGAAGTCAGCTGATCTATCAAAAATGTATGTTGACAGACACCAAAAACCAATGAAATTGAGACTGAATTAAGAAAAAAGTAAATACAACAAAGCTAGAACTATTTTAACAGAGGTGCAGAAAAAGATCTCTGCTGAAAAAAAATCCTAAAATGTGCAGAAATGTCATATATTATTTCTCCCTTTCCAAACAAAAATACTTACTTTAACAAAAGATCTGTGTTCAATGACTATGTTTTATTAATTCATAATAGAATTTCTTTTGAGTGAGAGATTGTAAAAAATCTGTCTGGTAGATTTTTCAAATATTTTTCAATAAAATATCTGTATATAATACCATATCAAGGTTATTAGTTTTTCCAAATTTGAACTTTGCTTTTAATTGTGATCTCCAAATAAATGAATGGCTTTGAGATTATATTCTGTTTATATTTATATGAATTAGTATTATATAATTCACATTTTAAAATGTACATAATATTACACTACTGTCTAGTTGCCATAAACTCAGTTTTTTCACTGATATATCTCTTCATTTGTTAGAAAATCAGAGACATGATGACTAAAGTAGACTTAAAAATATCACTAATATACTATAGCTTGGATTCAGAGTATTAATTATGAAGACAATAATCATATAAATATACAAAATAGTATAAAGTAATGTTGAGAAACTGTTGCCACTGAAGTTTTCTCTGGAAGGAGCACCACATTGAGATCTTTGCCTATATTCTTTTTAGCCGACTTAATGGCCTTGGCAAAGAGTCAAAACCACAGAACTCTCAGTGTATTTCCTCTACTTGTGTTAACAATAGTAATCATAATGGCCTTTCTTTCTTTAGCTATGCTATGTACTAGGCACTGATTTAAGGATTTCACATATTTAATTCTTTCTCATTAATTCTTTTGTTAGTATTACTATGTCTACTCACCACACAGGTTTGAAAATAACCCTTTTTCCACATTGTTGATTTCCTGTAAGAGTATTTTAAATTGATAAGTGTGTTTATTTAACTATCAGCATTATTTTTCCTCTTTATTGGTATATATAATAATGATATACTGCATGTTAGAATGACATTTTAGTTTCAATCAAGTCAGGTATTACTAATTCCACTTGTTAGAAAATCAGACACAGAGAGGTAAGGACTCTCCTCTAGGATAAAGCCAACTTGGTAGATTCAGGAGTTAAATCCTGGTGGTCACAGGGCAGAGTCCTTATTCTCCATTGTGCTAAACTCTTCTACATACTAATGTGCATTGTGTGCTGCTCTGTGTCAGTCCAGTATGTGTGGATTGTTTTGTTCAGTCACTACAATACCTGTGAAGTAGGTGTTGCTGGTAGTCTCCTTTTCCAACTGAAGATTTATGCAGGATAATGAGATGTGTTGTTTTCTTATTGTTTGTTTGGTACCGGGGATGGGGATTGAAGTTGCCAGGCAGGCACTTGTGCCACTGAGCTAAATCCCTGGGGAGACATACTATCTTTCTAGCACTTTTAAGTGATCTTTTTAGATTTTAATGAACCTTAGAACAGGTGGTCCCAGGGTGATGTGAATCTCTTAGTCAAATGGAGACACATCTTGGCACTGCAGTCTCCAAAGCACATCTGGGAAAGTGTTTCCACCTGCTTCTCTGCTTTAATTCTGTTTACTTTCTTCTCCTAGGGGATCCAAAAAGATAGTTGTGAATCAAATCGCAACATCACATGTAAGGTTGGATATCCCTTCCTGAGAAAAGGAGAAATGGTGAGCAGAATATATACCATGTACATGTAATACTGGGTCTGAAAACAACTGTACTTATCACATCCACAACAAGGCTGTGATTCATATGTCTCACTGCAGGCAACTTGAACCACTGTGGTAAATGCATGGCTGTACAGCTGAGCGGCTTTTTATTAATTTTATTAATAATTAAAGTGGTTAGATCCATTTATACCATCAGTGGTACAAGCCGCCTGATATGACAGTCATGCATGTGTTACCAGTGGTTTGAGCTGGCAAGAACATTTTAAAAATCAAATACATAAACACTTTTAATGTAGTTTTGCATGATGTCAAAGAAAAAGATTGAGTTTAAAATTTTTACAGCTTGAAATTTGGATGTAGTTCAAAATGCTTGAATCTCCCTAAAATTCTTACATTAAAACTTAACTCCCGATGTGACAGTATTAAGAAGTGGAGCCTTTGATAAGAGTGGCTTTATAAAAGTTGTTCACAAGAGGCTTGTTTGTTTTTTTCGTCTTCTGAGGTCATATAATAGTCACAGTCTGCCGAGAGCAGGCCTTCAATAGAAGCTGAGCTAACTGGTGCTTTGATCTCAAAAGTTCTAGCTTCCAGAACTACAAGCAATATGTTTCTGTTGATAATAAATTATTCAATCTAATGTATTTTGTTTTAACAGTCCAAACATACTAAGATAAAATCAAAATCAAAGTCAAAAGTATTTCATGGCAAATTCAAATACAAACACAAAATCATGGCAGATAAATGTACTGTGCTACATTCCCACAGAAATGGATGAGGACTCCATTTTCTCCATGCTGTGGATATCTTTTTCATTATAATTACTCCGGTGATCTCATAGTGATTTTGACTTGCATTTACCATAGTGTCCAATGATATTTTGTGCATGTGTTTATATGCATATGGGCCATATGTATTTGTGCTTTGGAGAAATGTCTATTACTAAATTACAAGTTCTTCCACTCTACGTTCAAGTCCATAATCAGATAAATGACTTGCAAGTTTTTTTCTCCCATTCTCACAATTGTATTTTCACTTTCTCTAAAGGACTAAAGTTTTTAATTTTGGTGTAGTCTAATTTTTATGCTTTATGTTCTTGCTGTCATAGCTAAGAAAGTTTTCCCTGATTCAAGGTCAGGAATATTTTTCTATGTTTTCTTCCAACAGTTCTGTCATTTTAGTCCTTTGACTTAGGTCTGTGACCCATTTTGAATAACTTTTTTTGTGGGATGTAAGGACAAAATCAAGTTAACTTTTATTTTCTTTGCACTTAGATATCCACTTTTTCCACACCATTCTGGAAAAAAAAAATAATTCCACCCACTTAACTATTCTTAACCATTTCTTCTTCTATTTAGAAATTCCTTCCTACTCAAAATAAAAGTGTAAATCAATATGTCTCATTTTTAGACACTTAGGAAGACAATTTTCAATTAATTTCAACACAGGCTTTACATTTAGAATATATATATATATATATATATATATATATATTTTAATGTCAAAGATCTGGTAGATGCTCATTGTAAGCTTTTCAGGGTAAGGTGAATATGTAATAAATATTTTTTTCCAACTCTTCTAGTATCTTGCCCTACTTGTAAAAGCTCATCAAGAAAGCAGAGACTTTCATGGCCAAACTAGTCATGCAAGTTAAACAAAGACTGCAAAGAGGCCACACACTGAGCCACTCGAACAGTTTAACCTTTGTCTGTGGTATCTCAAGCTCATCTAGAAAAATAAAATTTTTACTGGAATTTTATTATTTCAAAGAAGTAAGAAAATTGCTGTAATTGAGGATTCTTAAATGGTCTCATCCATTTCTTTTTAATTTAAAATTATATATATATATATATATATATATATATATATATGACAAAAGAGTACAATAAAGTTTTGTGGCAAAACCAATGATCATTGAGGTTCTGGTAATCTCTTATATGCATAGGTATTAAATAGATTAAAAGAGTTTTAAAAATTAAAACTTCTCCTGTCTAGCACATAAATGCAAAGATAAAATTTTAGAGTTTCCTTTTGCATTTTGGGATGTTTTACTGACTCTAATTTCAAAATACTTCAGCATAAACAAGATTGATTCTGAAAACCAAAAATATAATTTCATGAGTATTATTATAAGACTTCTTGGATTAGAACAAATAATTTTTTTGGTATGGCTGCCTGTGTTCACAAAATCATGGATAATGATTGATGGATAGTCTGTATGTGTTTAGGTATAGTTTCTCAAAAATCAGTTATTTCTATCAAAGTGTTCATGTAGCAAATATTTTCAAATTTTTATTAAATATGTTAAGTATGCAAACTCTTACAAACAAAACTCTCCACTTTTTCATTATAATTGACTTTAGTCTAAGAAACCAAGTTTTTGTTTTATTTTTTTTATCATTCCTTAAGGTTTCGTATAGTAACAAATCAATATATTCTTGTAGTAACAAATATATATTCTTATAGTAACAAATATTCTTCAGAATATTCTTCAGAATATTCAAATATTTTTATAGTAACAAATCAATAGATCCAAGTGTGTTTTACTCTGTTTTATAATGAGTATGTGTGTGCAGGGAATGTTTAGTAAAGAGTTGTATTTTTATTTCATAGGTAACTTTCAAGATATTATTTCAGTTTAACACATCTTATCTCATGGAAAACTTGATCATCTACTTAAGTACAACAAGGTCAGTTTGTATGAATGTATATATATATGTATATATTTATATAATTATTTTCACATAATTATAATATATTTTCTTTATAATTGTTGGCTAGTTCTTAATACTTGTAAGAAGTATTAGCAGAAGTAAAAGCCCATGAACTTCATTGCTTTACAAAAATTCTTTTTCATAATTACCAAGATAATTGTTAAGTATAAAAGAAATTTTTATTGAAGGATAATAATTTAATCAACTGGATTAAATCATTGTTACATGGGCTGTGGAATATATTACAATCACATGTCACTTATATCTGTCAAATTTCATTCATTTAAAATTTTATAAAATCTACTAATTTAAAACTTTCCCTTAAAGTCAACTAATCACTAGATGGATTTACAGTGTTTTACGACATCCTTGTTAATTTGAGAAATTTTATCTAAATTACTCAAAGTTTCTGAAAGTTATCATAAAATCACAAACTAAAAACATCAAATAATAATAGATTGAAATGATAGTTTAACTCTTTTCTTAGTGTAATTACCCACTCTATTTCCAGTGAGACCACTATTGATGGTGCTTTTTATCAGTAACTAACACAGTGCTTCCATATAATAATCATTAAACAGATGAGTAAATAAATGCAAAAAATGAATTAATGGGTGAACTAAATTGGTATGTTCAATTCAATTCAACTCAATATATACCTACTTGATTTTGCCTATGAAGGATATTGAAGTAATCACTGTAAGAAATATAAAATTACTAACATGAATATATAAGTTGCTAACCTCCTCATGGGTGACTACTACTGTATGACCTTGAGACCAGAATAAAACATTATTGTAATACAGGGTAGAGTAAGGAAAATTCTTTATAGAACTATAAACCATATGTCAGAGGCCAAATGAAGGTAAAAGTATATCTACTTGACAGTGAGAAACTAAGAAAGGTTTATCAAGAAATTTTAATTGAGAAACTTTAAAGATTGGGCAATATTTTATAATAAAGCAAGTGAGTAGGATTAGGTAGAATATTTTTGGGGAACATATACAGCTTGAGCAAAAACTGAAAGATAGATTAGTTGATCTACTTGAAGAATACTTTGTAGTCAATTATGTCTGAAACATAAAAGGCATATAAAGCATTAATGTGAAGTAAACACGCTAAAATAAACACCTGAAGTGTGCACCCTTCTATATTATGATATATCTGGAATGTTAGTTGAATACACGTTTTTCTTAACTAGATAGGAGTTAAGGAACCAGGTTTTTAAGGAGTGAAGTCATATATATATATATATATATAGGGTTGCTTCATGGAAAGATTTATTTAGATGCACTGTGGAATAGATGAGAGAGAAGGGGACCATTTATCCTAGGAGTTCAGACACATGAATACCTAGAACCCAAGGACACACTGCTATTCCCTATTCCAAGCCACTGTATACATTTGGTAACAAGTAGAGCTTTTCAAAAGTACTCATTGCATATTCTGTGAGATGATATGGTAAGGGCTTGGTCAGTCTGTAAAAGGGTGTGCACGATCATAATAATGAAAGCCAATACTTTTTGGATATTCCCTAGCCATAATTCTAAGCATTTTATACTTATTATTCATTTACTCATCACTTATTAGTCATATAATGACTAAATCTCTGTTTTTTGAATGAAAAAAATTAAGGCACAAAGTGATTAAATAACTTTCCCAAAGTGTAATATGTCCAGAAATAATCCCATTCTGGAACTATCATTGGCACATGCTCTTTTAATGAGTATGCATATTAGAATATGAGCTATATGTATATATTATAGTAAAATTATGCATAATTTATTGTGTATATTATATATAATTAGTATAACCAAAATCAAGGAAATAAGTAAATACTTTACAAATAATGAATCCAAGTATTGCACCTGAAAAGACTAGCAAAATGAGATAACAGAAGGCTTTAGATTTATTCTCATTTGTATGATTGTAGTTTTGTCTCTTCCAAGGCCTTCATGTGTGATAAATATTATCTGAGATCAGTTTTGTTAAAAACAAACATTTGTTCAAATTACGTTATTAAATCCACATTTCTAAATGAGAAGTCCAGCAATCTGTGTACTTTAATAGAGAAAATTGGCATTTCTTAAAATTATTGTAACAGAATTTTGGGAAGCTAAATAAGTGTGGTTTTCAACTGTAACTGCACATCAGAATCAACCTGGGAATTTTGAACCGTACCCACGTCTGATCTTCCTTACTCCTAGTAGAAGATAACCAAGAATTCTACTCCTTTGTGTTTTTACTTATTTGCCAATATAAGCACCTCTGCAAATGCTTAGAAATGTCTCTAAATATTCAATAGTATAATGATTGATGTAAATATGCTATATATTTTTAGTGACAGTGAAGAACCTTCTGAAACACTTTTTGATAATGCAGTAAATATTTCTATCCCAGTAAAATATGAAGTTGGACTGCAGTTTTCCAGGTAGGAGGACATCACATTTCTATGTTTCTGAATAAAAAACTTTCCTAAAATTTGAACTCTTTATAAGTATCTCTATGGAATTACATGGTGTGGAAAAATTTTTTAAAATGAGGCCAAATTAAAGTTACAATTTATTGTGTTTAATTTTTAAAAAATTAATTCTTTTTAGCTATGCAAGTGAGTACCATATTTCAGTTGCAAGCAATGAAACAGTCCCTGAAGCAATTAATTCTACTGAGGACATTGGAAATGAAATTAACATCTTCTACTTGGTAAGAATTGATCTCTAAGCTAATCTAAAAGAGTTATTTATTGATTTATAAACTAAGTTATTAAACACAGTGTTTTAACATTTAATCTCTATATCCTAACATACTCTTCTTTATAATTTTACTAGTTTAAAATACTTTAAGTTGATAAAATTTATTCATAGAGTCAATTTTAAACACCTGTATTTTTAGTATCCTCCTAAGACACACTAATTTAGAATGACTGGCCAGAAAATAATAAGTCATGAAACCAAACTGATACTACCTATTAACAGTCCAGTCTTAACTCCTTAAATCATTTACAATATTTTTTTTACATTATTTTTACTCAAGGGAAAAAGGACCAATGTAAATGATAGATATAAATGAACATTCAAAAGTATGAAATAACCCAACACAGTCATAAATTACGATAGTTTTCATGTTTGGACAATTGTCAACATGGAAAAATTTATCTTAAAAAGTAGAAATAAATGTGTCCTCATGAATTTTGCTGTTTTATTTGTGCTCTTTGTTATACTTGGAAAATTGAAAAGAAGGTCAAGTCCTCTACTCAATTTCGGGATGCATCTTTATAATTTAAACTTAGGTTTTTGCAACAAGATTTACTTTTTTGGGATAACAGAATTAGCAAGTGGAGAGAGACAGAGAGAGACAGACAGACAAACAGACAGAGACAGAGATAAGGAGAGAGAGAGACTGAGACAGACAAGAAGAGAGAGAAGGAGAGAGACAAAGAAAAGAAGGAAAGGAAGGAGGGAGGAAGGAGGAAATGAAAAAGTTATCTGGTATTAATCTTCATTTATTACAGCTTATCAGGGTTAAATTTGAAACATATATTCTCTATTATAAATGATATTGCTATAAGTAACATTGTTCAGTAGAGTAATGACATAAAAACAAAAGTGACTACTGGTAGAAATTTTCCCTAGGAAATGATTGATGATACAAAGATTTCAGTAGTATTCTTAACAATGTTATTTATGGTAGACTAAAAGATATATTTGGTCACACTTTAACAGTTTAACCATGCTAGTTAACTAATATATATTCTGTGAGGAATAATATATATTCGAATAAAAGGCAGCTTGTTGTAATATAGTAGAGGTTACATTTTAAAATAGTAAATCCTAATTCTATTATTTACCAGCTCATTGACCTTGGAAGACTTTCATTCTCATTTTAACTTGATATTTCATAGATAAAATGCAAATAAAAGCTTCTAATGCCAGTGTTATTAGCAAAGTTAAGACAATAATACAAATAAGATGATTAGCACAGTGTGATGTGTATCATCAACAAATACTGATATTGTGGTTGTGTCTTCAGCCAGTAACAGTCATATTCTCAAAAACCCTATTTGGCAAAAAATGCCACAGCATGACAAATTTTACAGTCAGTACCAGATTTTTAAGTTTTTATATGACATAAATTTCATAAAATATTAATATATACAAATAAAGATGTAATATATACTAAATCCTTACTAAGATAGTTGAATTGTAGTAAACTCATTTTCTATTTATTTTCAGTAGTTTCCTTGAATATTTTTAATGATAAAAATAAGTGATAATAATGGAATGTATGATTTCTGACTATACATCAGGAAACAAGTGAATTTCAAATGGGAGGCCATGCCAAGCAAGCCTAGGGTATATTACCACAGGAACAGAGTTAAGGAACATATTCATGTTGCAAAGGCCAAGGCACAACTAGTCAAGAATCTCCAGAATTCCAGGATTAAGCAACATGTTTAATCTTCAGCAACCATTAGAGAAACTGGCAATCTAGAGGTCTTAGTCTGATAGGCGGTGGATTTTATGGTATCTGTAAAGTTCAAAGGGCTCCTACTGGGACTGCCCAAAGAGAAGGGTTAGGACCTGGAGATCATACGTGTTATGGTATGAAGGAGGTCTACTGCACCTGATGGCCTCAATTCAATTTTACCTGCTAAGCAGGCAAGGACTTCTGGAAAGTGAGTTCACTTTCCTGCTGGATTTTATCCTGTCTATCCTGCCCTGTATGCTACATTCAACACTGGTGGCACAGTGTGATAGAAAGTGAAAATTCAGGTTTAGTGGGTAGCAACAAGTAGAGATGGAAATGAAAGTCAGTCTTACTCTTACCAGACTGTGTTATCAAAACTCAGTGACACAGCAGGAGATAGAATTGTGAAGGGAAGCAAGTGGGAGTCTGGTTTGCTTGCATGATGCCAACAGATCCTACCCAGCTAGAACTGAGAAGGTTTATGGCTTTTGGGAATTATGAACTGAGTTAAAGTAACTATAAATCTGCAAAATTATTCCACATGGATCAGGAGGTGGTTTTCTTCTCTTCTGGCTCCAAAACCCTGTGTTCTTAGAAAGGAACATAAGTGATTATGATTTTCTGTTAATCCCAAAGTTATTTTAAGAATGAAAGATGAAAGAACAATATGATTGTAACTGATATGATAAAAACATATTTCATTGCTGGTTTAATTAAGCCAATTCCTGTACAGTGCATAACCCATATTTATTTGGGAGTCAAATTTTTATGCAACTTAATGTATCATTTAAAAATTTAGGCCCTACATATGATGGAAAGGATACTGTTAAAAGAGGAAGAAATTACATTTCTAACTTTTTTCTTATAGATTAAAAAAAGAGGACATTTTCCAATGCCAGAGCTTAAACTGTCAATTTCATTCCCCAATTTGACATCAGATGGTTTTCCTGTGCTGTACCCAAATGGATGGTCATCTTCTGATGTAAGTCATGTGTGCCTTACAATTATATCTTTAGTATTGCCTCTGCACTTTGTCTTTGAGCTTTTTCCTCTGCATGCCACTAATTTTAAAGAGTCTGAAGGAACATAACATTTATACAATTAAAAAACAATAATAGTTTCCACTAGTTGTTTAGTAGATACAGTAGTTAGTTCTCTGAAGCAAATGTAAAAAATGTACCAAAATTTGATAACTTAAGAAATAACAAAAGCTTCTTATTTCATAGTTTAGAAGGCCGGAAACCCGAAGTCAAGGTCAGTTTCTTCAGGACACCATAGTCTCTCTCCTAGCTTTTGATGGCTGCCTAACATCTTGGTATTCCTTGGCTTGTGACCACCTAACTCCAGTGTCTGTTTTTCAATGGCCTTCTTCCCTGTGTTTTCTTTCCTGTCTGATTTTTTTTCGCTTCTTGCTTACTGCATTTAGGATCCACTCAAATTCAGAGAATTTTTAAATTTAATTTTATCTTCTAAGATTCTTATTTCCAAATAAGATCATATTTATAAGTTTAGGGCATTAAAAATTTGGGCATACCATCTTTGGATTATTAATCAGCTACAGTAGATTTTAGATAATTGTTTCTCTATGCCTAAAATATATGTTATACTTTTTAATTTGCTTAAAGTGCTCAAACAAAACTCTAAAGATACTTCTCAGGTGTTCTTAAACATATACAACTATGCATAAAGTAATAAATATTTTTATGCACTTGTCCCAAACAACAGAAATATTTCACCCTCTTTGTGTCTTTAGCACTGAATATATGTTAGTTAATTATTATTGGTTAGTGCCCAAAGCATGAAAAATCACAGTATTAATTCATGCATGATTTCAACATTTGAAAAATCTGTCTTCTTTTCTCACATTTAAAAACTTGCTCTCAAAAATCAAGAAACAGCAGCAGCACCTGTGGGTTCATAATCACTGCTTAGTATGAATGTGTGAAGTTCAGTACTGCTATGGCAAGAATATGAGATTGGAAATCAGGATGTAGTCTAAGCATCAGCTCTACCTAACCAGCTGTGTGGATTAATCTTCCCTATTAAGAAAAAATAAACTGAAATTTCCCTCTAGTTCTAAAATACAGAATCTAGGAATGGAAAGATTTTAATTTTCATATTACTTTGTGAATTTTTATTCATATTACCTTTTATCCAAGACACAAAATTTGAATCAGATCAAGTCTAGAGAAACAATCCAAAATCAAACTTTGTTTGTTATGATCATGGCTTTTTAGCATTTACATGGGTACTGCTGATCTCTTCCTCCCTCATATACAAAGAATCTTATCTTTGGTATGCAGGAACTCAAAAGTATTATTGGATAAATATACAAACACAGATAAAAGTTCTTTATAGTTCTATTTCGTAGGTCAACATATGGACCATCACACAAAACAACAATGCTCTTCTCCTCAATTGAGTTTTAAGTTTTTCTCAACCTGTGTTGTTGAAATTTACAAACTATTCATTGAAGAAAACAAATTAATGAGCATATTACTCATAAAATAGTAAGTTCTACTAGCATGCTTTTCATTCTGTTACCACCTGACTGGAATCAATTATAATTCAAAACTGCCATGATAATGCTAATTATTTTCTGAGGATAGAAATATATGGATGGTACTTGACAGCCTCTTCTGTTACAAAGACATCTTTAATGACAATGGGTATCACTCACAGATTCTTTATGTTACTATACCAATTCACTTTTCCCTTTGGCATTGTCTAATAAAAACAATTTTTACTTTTTAGAATGCAAACTGCAGACCTCGTAGCCTAGAGGATCCTTTTGGTATCAATTCTGGAACGAAAATGAGTATATCAAAATCTGAACTTCTGAAACGAGGCACATTTCCGGTAAATTAAGTGCTATTTTACCTCATGCTTTAAAAGTAGAATACGTTCAACATCAACCTGAAAAATAACAATCTAAAGTATTTTACTGTAGTATTTTTGTTAAATAGCAAGGCTATTAATATTACCTCTGGACATTCAAACAGGACTGCAAAACATGTAAATTTGCTACCATCACATGCAATCTCCTTCCATCTGACGTGAGCCAAGTAAATGTTTCACTCATCTTGTGGAAACCAACTTTTATAAAAGTAAGTGTTTGCATTATTCTTTGCAGTTATCGAGTCAAATCACAAATATTTGTTTACTGCTTAGTATGAATGTGTGAAGTTCAGTACTGCTATGGCAAGAATATGAGATTGGAAATCAGGATGTAGTCTAAGCATCAGCTCTACCTAACCAGCTGTGTGGATTAATCTTCCCTATTAATTACTAAGTTGTCTCCAAGATCTCTTTCTAAAAATACATTATATGAGATCTCTCCTATTCTCTTTTGTTGAGAGGAATAACTCTCCAGGACCAAAGCTTGTCATTATGTTAACAATTTGGAATCCAGTGAAGGAATGAGGAATTACAGAGTAACAGTCTTTGGCACTACTAACACGGGACATAGCAGGCATCTATGTGAACTTGTATTATATTGAACTTTTAAAAATTTATTTTAAAGAGAAAAAACAATAAAACAATGATACAAAATTTCAAAGCAATCTTGTAGGAGAGTAATAATTGTTAATACATTGCCTATTATCTTCAAAGTAGTTGCTCATATTAGAAGATAAAGTCATAAAAAAGTGATCAAGCAATATAGGCACAAACCTTTCTTTTTAATGAACTAATAGAAATTAACATAACTATCTTAACTATCATACATACATATATTTATTAAAATTTTACACTATGTAAATACACTTTGAAAGACAAAGTCAACTGTGTGTATCAAAAGACTACTTTAAAACCTAAGGAATTTCGTATTGTTTCTCTCTTAAAAAGTATTTAGTTGACTCCCATCTCCCCCCTGCCATCTTGGGAACCCAGATGAATGCACCAGAGGCAATGGGCACTCCTGTCACTACTCCACCTTTGTGGCAACCCAGGTAAAGTGTACCTGAGGAAGGCGACTTCTCCACTTGCTACTTTGAGGAGTGAGGTGAACCATTTGGAAAGGGCCAAAAACCAGAAGGAATGCCAGTGACACAGTAGTTGACATGGTCCCAATTGAGGGACACTGAATGGACAGGGGAAACTAGTGATGTGAAATCTATGAAATAACAATACAAGTCAACAGGTGATTGAGGCCTTCACAGGACTAGCAACCAGCTCAGGAAGAATCCAGAATTGATAGAAAACATTCCTAAAGAACAGACTTTTCCTAGAGAGGTAGTGATACTAGTGATAACTGCTACCCACTACAAAGACTCATAAGGATCTTCACAGGAAACAACATAAAACTTTTTTTGAAATAGAAGATGACAAGATGAAGAAGCAAAATGCAATCTCAGATCTCCAGCCCACCCAGAACAAGTTCAGGAGATATCAACATAGAAGAAAATGAAAGACATACACCTGAAATTTCTGAAATGATAGCAACTCCTGAAGTAAAGAAACAAAACCATGAGGATATAGAGAAAATCAGATCAGAAATAATCTCTCAGATAAAAAAAATCAACGTTTCTAAAGGAAATGCTCAGCAAATCTACAGCAGTAAGAAAATAGATAAAAGGGGCTGGTTATTTGGCTTAGCAGTATAAGCATCTACCTGACAAGTGCAAGATTGTGACTTTGATCCCTAGTATCAAAGATGATGATAGGAAGAGGATAGAAACCTTAAATGATCAGTACAGGAAAGAAATACAGTGCATGAATTGGAATCAGATATCCAGGAAATCAAAAATTTCATTGAAATCTGGTAAAACCACTTGAATGAAACTGAAGATAAACTTTCAGATATGGAAGACAGAATTGCAGCTAGCAATTACAAAAGGAAAGGTCTTTTGAAAATAACAGATGAGTGGGAAACAATTCAACAGCTACAAGATGATGAAAAGAAAAATATAAGAATAATTGTGTCAATGAAAGAGCAGAAACCAACACTAATAACATAAAAAATCTCTTTGCAGAAGTAATAGCAGAAAATTTTTCAACCATGGGAAATGAACCTGACATTCAGGAAAGTGAGTCATATCGGAACCAATTAGCCTTAACCAAAATAAATCTACACCCAGGCATATAATAATCAAGATCCCAGAAATTCGGCACAGGAACAGAATGTTAAAAGCAATTAGAGAAAATAAACAGATCACCTTAAAGGAAAGCCTATTAGAATTATGACAGACTTCTCAGCACAAACCATCAAGTTAAGAAGAGCTTGGAGTGAAGTGTTTCAAGTCCGGAAAGAAAACAACTTCCAACCCAAACTGACATGCCCTATAAAACTGCGCTTCAAAATTAATGGAGAAATAAAATGCATCCATGGCAAAGAACAACTGAAGAAATTCATTACTACTAAACCAACCCTACAAAGGATACTGAAAGGTATTTTAGACAGACAAAAATGACCAAAATTCTAGCAATAACAACGGAAAGAAATCACCAAGCAGGGCAAGCAACTCAACAGAGGGGAAACTTAAGGAAACAACAGCAGGAAAATAACATTACAAAGACAAGCTAACACATGTCCATTATTAGCATCAATGAAAATGGCCTCAGTTCACCAGGCAAAAGAAACAGACTGGCAGAATGGATCAAGAAATAAGATCCAACAATATGCTATATAAAAGAAACACATTTATCTGAAAGAAAAGATTCATAGACTAAAAGTCAAAGGATGGACACCAATACTCCATGTGACAGGAATCCAGAAAAAAAGTAGGGTTAGTAGCTGTTATGTTTGCAGACAATGTGAACTTCAAACCAAGAATAATCAAAAAAGATAAAGAAGCTCACTACATACTTGTTAGGGGAAAAATTCAAGAAGATGAAATAACAGTCATAAATACATATGCACCAAATACAGAAGCAACCAATTATATAAAACAAATATTAATAGACATGAAAAAGGTATAAGCAATAACACAATTGTAATGGGAGACCTTAATGTCCCATTGTCACAAACAGTCAGGTCAACAAAACAAAAAATCAGTGAAGAAATAACAGAATTGAACCAAATCTGTGAACAAATGGTATTAGTAGATGTTTACATTGTTCCATCCAGCAAGATCAGAGTCCACATTCCTGTCATTTGCAGCTGTTCTCTAAAATATTATTCTATAAAATAGATCATATACTAGCCCATAGAATATGCTTAAGTAAATGCAAAGGAACTGAAATTATCTCATACATATTACCTGATCTTAGTGCAATAAGTTAGTAATTAATAACAGAAGAAACTGTAAAAACTCTATAAATACATGGAAATTAAATAACACCTTCCTAAGCAACTAATTAGTCATAGACAAAATTTAAAAAGTTAAACTTCTATAATCAAATGCAAATGCAAATATAATTTAAAGAAACCTACAGGAAGCAATAAAAGCAATTCTAAGGGAAATTTATAGCAGTGAATTCTCACATCAGGAAAACAGAAGGAACACAAATAATTTAATGCTATACCTGAAATTTCTAGAAAAAGAGCAAGTCAAGCCAAAAACCTACACAAGGAAGGAAATTATAAAGATCAGAGCAGAAATTAATGTAATTGAAACTAAGAAAATAATACAAAGAATTAAAGAATTGAAGAGTTAGTTCTTTCAGAGAATAAATAAAATTGGTAAATTCTTAGTTAACTTTATCAAAGAAAGAAAGAAAGAGAAAAAGTCAAATTCATGCAATAAGGAATGAAAAGGGTGATATCATTAGAGATTCTGTTGAAATTCAAAAGATCACGATACCTAGTTTGAAAATCTTTACTCACATAAGATAGAAAACATAGAAGAAATGGAGATTCCTAGAAACATAGGAATTACCAAAGCTGAATCAAGAAGATATACAACTATTGAGTAACCCAATTATCAGTTAATGAAACTGAAAATGTAATTAAAACTTACCAACAAAGGAAAGCCTGAGTCCTAATGGATTCACAGCTAAATTCTGTAAGAAATGTAGAGAAGATTTAACACCAATACTCCTCAAATTCCTTACTGAAGTTGAAAGGGAAGCATTTCTCCCTAACGCATTCCTGGAGGTAAGTATTATCCTCATATCAATATCAGAGAAAGACCCAAGCAAAAAGAAGAACTACAGGCTAGTCTCCCTAATTAACATAGATGCAAAAATTCTCAATAAAATATTAGCAAACAGAATGCAGTAAATCATCAATAAGATTATACAACATGACCAAGTGGAATTCATCCCAGGAATGCAGGGATGTTTCTATATATGCAAATCAATATATGTAATATCAACAGAGCCAAAGACAAAAATCGCACCATCACCTCAATAGGTACAGAAAAAACATTTGATAAAGTCCAACACTCATTCATAATAGAAACCATACCGAAAATTGGAATAGATGGTCATTACCTCAATCTAATAAAAAGCCATCTATGACAAACCATAGCCAGTATCATACTAAATGTATAAAAACTTAAATCTTTGAATCTAAAATCAGGAACAAGACAAGGATATCCACTATCACCCCTCTTATTCAGTATCGCTCTGGAAACCTTAGCCAAATAGACAAGAGAAAGAAACAAAAGAAATAAGGATAGGGAAGGAAGAAGTTAAACTATCATTATTCGCAGATGATATGATAACTTTCCAACAGACTGAAAAGAAAATTTATAGAGTGTGGAAAACAGTTAGCCAACTATCTCTATGACAAAGGACTTATATCTAGAACATATAAAGAGTTGAAAAATTCAGACCCCTCCAAATTCAAAGACCTAATCCAAAATCAGGCATTTGAGAAATATGAATGGCAAATAAATATATGAGAAAGTGTTCGGCATCATTGGTTATTTGAGAAATCAAATTAAAACAACACTGAGATTCCATCCTACTCCAGAAAGAACAGCTACCATCAAGAAATCAACCAATAACAAATGCTGAAGGGCCTGTGGGGAAAAGGAACCATTCTCCACTGTTAGTGGGAGTGTAGACTTGTGTAACCACCATGGATATCAACATGGAGTCTCTCAAAAAACTAGGATTGAAGGTTTCATTCTATCTTAACTATTCCCCTTCTGGGTATTTTCCTAGATGAAATAAAAACATCATACCACAGAGATATATGTGCACCTATGTTTACAGCAGCACAATTTGTAATCGCTGAATCTTGAAAACAACCCCAATGTCTATCGACTGAGAAATAGATGTAAAAGATGTGGTATTTTTATATAATGGAGTGCTACTCAGCTATAAAAGAGGATAAAATTGAGGATTTTATAGGTAAATGGATGCAACTATAGTCCATACTCATAGAAACCAGACCCACATGTAAACATCATATTGTTTCCATTGTATAAGAAACTGAAAAAGTAAGAGCCAAAATCTACAATAGATATTGTGAAAGGGAAACAAGTATCTCAAAAGTAAAGAACTGGGAATGGTGAAAAGATAAAAGAAGGAAGAAAAAAATATATATACACACGCAAAAGATAGCTAAGAGAATTATACTATTGATTTCTCTTAGTTCATTGAACAGCAGTTTGTATTTATATTGTTACATTGTACTTATATTGTTTGATCAATTATGCATGCCTATATCTTGTAATCTGAGCAACTACTTTAAGATAACAATATGCAGTATATTAACCATTGTCAATTTCCTATTATCTTGTTTCTCAAATTCTGTATGTTTAGTTTATTGGTTTTTTCTCTTTAAAATAAAAAAAGATTTAAAAAAATAATTACACTTCCTACCTGGTGTTGGTGTGTGTGTGTGTGTGTGTGTGTGTGTGTGTGTGTGTGTTGGGGATTAAACTCAGAGCCTTGTACATGTTAAGCTGGTGCTATATTCTTAATCCTTTAGATTTTTTATTTAAAGTCCTTTAGATTTTTCATTTTTCTAAAAAAAGTATTTGATTGATGCTATGAAATCATTTTTAGGTTTGATCATATTAATTGCTACTCTAAGTAACACATTCTTGAATATCGGCAATTTTATGATTAGTCTTAAATAAGTGCCTATATGGAACCCGATATAGCTATTTAATGTTACATTGATGAAGTTATTTATTCCTGCATTAAAGGTATGCAGAACTTGAAGTTTATTTCTCTAAGAAAAAAATCAAAATGGAAATATTTTGTAAAATTATTTTCACTCAGTAATCTAAGCGAAGATTTGCAGAGTCCAAGAAGGAGAATGTGTACTTTGCCACCATTAGATAGTATCAGTTCCGTTTGGAAGTTAACAAAGCCAGTGTTTTTAATCTCAGGAAAACTTTACATTTACTAACTATATTCCTAAACATGACTAGCTCTCATTTTGATAGCATACTGTATTAAAACAAATCCTATCTGCTTTCCAGACACATTTTTCAAGCTTAAATCTCACAATAAGAGGAGATCTTCAAAGTGAAAATTCATCACTGATTTTAAGTAGTAGCAACCAAAGAAGAGAAGTAAGTGCAGCTCTAAGCTTTGAAAACATTCTGCATTGTACTCAAATGTCGTGACATAATTTTTAATAGTTGCTTGTATTCCCATAAGCTGTGACTGGTACTGCTCTCAGTAAGTGGGAGATACTGTTTGGTTTATACTTCATTACCCTCAAATGTGACTTTGTTGTTCTTCCTATGAAACTAGGAAAATCATATTTACAACTAACATGCCGTGTTTGACTGCAAGTAGATGTTTTTAATTTTACATTGATAACAAGCGATGCATTTGTAATTTTGCTTCTTAAAATTGACATTATAAAATGTGGGTGATATCTGTAGAGCAAAACTGGAAAAATATTTCTTTACAAAAAATGCCTGTATATTATGCAGAAACATGTGTGTGAATTTTTTATAGGTTTCTTCATTTAGTCATTGGGAAGTCTGAGACAAAAATGAGATGATAGACTAGTAATACCTAAGACCTAGACTGAATTCTACTTAAAAATACAAATTTAGGTTTTTAACCTTAAACTTCTATGAGATAATACCAAGCACTTGGTATGGATACAAAAACTTTAGCAAGAATTTAAATATCCCTGAAAATAAACAACACCCCAAGAGTCAAGTTTCATTCAGATTCCATTTAGAACCTTGCTGCCATTCATAGGTTCAGGTAAAACAGTCTATTTTAAATTATTCCAATGTCAGTGATCTCTGGTAAGCATATTCCCTTATAAAAAAGAAAGTGCATGCATTTTATAATTTCCACTTCATAAAAAACCCTTAGTATGATCAATACATAATGCAAAATCATTCCGCTCCCAGGGAAGTCACCATTTCACTAAAATTTGAAAAATACTGTATTTATTATATTGGAAGAAAATATATTTGATTCTTAAATATGTTATGTTAAAATTTTAAATTAGCTTATTTTTCCTAAAATGTTAGTTTAAAATTCTCTTGGAGATATTTACTTTACATTTCATCCTAAAGGAAAATTATATTATATTGATAAATTTACTCCAAAGTGATCATTTCATGATTGCGTGCTATTGAAGAAATCACTGATCTTATCTAGACTCAGTTTCCATATTTAAATTCAGACAATCATTTTAGAAGTTTTTACAATCTATCTTAATGGTCAATTCTGTATATATCTATATTCCAGTCTATTGGCATTGACCTAACTGGACTGATGGAGGGAGTTTGACTAAGATCTATTATATGCAAGAATGTCCCTGTTAGTTTCCTTCTAACCCTAGTTTTCCCTCTAGGTTGAGAAATTGAAGTATTTCATAGTAAAGGTAGATACAGAAAGTCAAGATATTGTTAACCATTAATATGTACCCAAATCAAGATTTTTTAAAGATATCTAAGGGATGGGACACAGACCAGACAAGTTTCACTGATGCTTGGGTGCCTCACTATAAATCTTCAGTATTTGGAATACTGGGAAACTATTTTACTTTAGCCAGGACCTAAATTATACATGAAAGAGAGATAAATCAACTGGAAGAGACAGTATAGTGTAAATGAAAAACACATTAGATGAAGGGATAAATATCTACAAGCTCTATATTTGTACATTTTGTTCAATAAAAGTTATACTTTCCTATAATTAGAATTATATCATATTATGTTATTAGAACTAGAATAAGAATACCTAGTCAGGTTTTTATTTCAGAGCCTATGTTCTTCCAGCCTATTAATGCTATCGTGATAATATATTTATCTGTTAATAACTCTTCAAAACATACAATAGTTTGGATTCTATGAGTTAAAAAGTAATTTACCCTACTCTGATTCATTGTCAGTTCTCTGTGTATAAAGTCATGAAAGACAAAATTTCTTAGTATTTTCTTGGTGATAATAATTCTGATATAGTTAGGGATTCATAATAGATGAAAAGCATTTTTCAATGTAAAGTCAATATTTTTTCTATATGTAAGACTGAGATTAAGTATACTGTTTGGTGGAAAATTATAATCTGAAAGAATTTAAGGTTCTAGGAGTTCTAGTAGGTGTTTATCTATGTTAACAATTTGTTTAATACTTTTCAGCTTGCCATTCAAATATCCAAAGATGGGTTACCGGGAAGAGTGCCATTATGGGTTATCCTCTTGAGTGCCTTTGCTGGATTACTGCTGTTAATGCTGCTTATATTAGTACTGTGGAAGGTAAGCTCCAAAGTTCTTTAGATGTATTACAACCATCATCTGCAAATTGGTGAAATGAATTATGATTTTTTCCATGCTGTGGATTATAGTATTAAACAGCAATGAAATCAACATGGAAATGATGACCAAGATAAAAAGAATATATTTTAAATATTACATACAGGTTTGATTCTATCTTTGTAAAGGGAAAAAAAATTGAGAAAGACATCCTCAGAAATTATAGAGAGTTTCTAGAGGTTAGGTTTATAGAGGCCATTCAAATGTCAATAACATTTGAAAATTTGTATTACTTTTATAAACACAAAAAAATGAAAGAAAAGAATGATTACTATGTAAATTTGAGGGCATATAAGTAGTATATTCATAGGTGAGATAAGCATTGACCTAATCACGTATTTGTATGTATTTTAAAGATCTAATACTGGTTTAATGTAAAAAAATTTTATGTAGTATTTTTATGCTGAGTGAAGCATGGAGAATTTGCTAATAAGCTTATAAAAAGGGAGATTTAAAGTTTTACAGACTTTTAAACTTCAAGTCCTTTTGTAAAATTGGGTAGCTATCTATTTTTCTGTGCAGTTACTCTGGATATTTCTACAGCTGGTACGATTAGGCTGAGATACGAAAGAATTTTTAAAGTTAGAACTGCTTCATTTTCAAACAAATTTTGGTGATAATCATTTTTAAAATAAAGAAAATAAAATCCTGCAGAAAAGTTAAATGTAATGCTTTTTCAATTAAAAATCAAATTGGTCTTTATTCTTAGTTGTGTTTTACTTAGTAATTGGTTAAGTAGTTAAAACATTTTCAAAGTACAGACTTTAGCTACACATTTCCTTTTTTTAATATAGAAAAAATTAACTAACCAAATAATGTTTCTCTAGCATTGAATTACCAATTGTCCCTATCCTTTCTGACTCTTTCTAAATGAGTAACTTCCTTGTTAGGAGTTTACTGTCAAAGGACAAGATAAAGCCAGGTTAAAGATGTAAGTCAGTGAAATTTAAATAGTAGAATCTGTAAGTTTTTTTTTTTTTTTAACACAATTTTCAAGACAAAATTTTCCACCAAGTTCAACATCCAATTCTTTCTCCTTACAAGGTGTCAGAGTTCTCTGTAATACCTGGTTTTGCCACACTGTGGTATCCAAGGCCTGGCTTATTGATTATACTTGAAACCACTGGAAGTAGTTTCCTTATTTATAAGCACCATTAGCACATTGTATTTCTGATGATTTTTTGCAGTATGGTCTTATATTCTGAGCACAAAGTTTTAGGGCATCTCTAACAAGAGAATAGGAAAGCCAGAGCTGAGGTTTAGATAAGTTCTCTCTGGCCTCACGCTTCTGTTTAAGACAAATACCTCCATATTTTGATCTTTAGTCTAAAAAGGCATCAATGTAAAAATAAACACATTTTTTCCATCAGCGGTAAATGTTGTACTGAAACATTCTATGGTGTCTAAGATTGTTTTAGACCCCAAAGGTCACATAATAAACTTTAGGCTCTCTTGACCAAAAGGTTTAGTCAGTTTAAATACTTAAGGGAGGCTTAGCAATCAGAACTGTGATCCAAGGCAGAAGTGAAAGGAGTTCTTACTGAATGTTTAACATCTGCCAGGAGATGTTCTAAGCGTTAGAACAGGGCTCAAAGCATTCCTACTTAATATTCTTAAGAAACACATGAGGGAAACATTGTTATGAGCCTCATTTTGTATATAGGGAAATAGAAGCACAAACAGTTAAATGTTTTCCAGGTTCACATGACTAGCAAAGTTCAAAGTAAGCATCTGACTCTTGTGCCAACACTATCTGTTATCTCTCTGCTGTCCTTACAATAGCCTTTTCAACCAAGTTTCTTTGCACTGTACACCAAGGTTGTTAAGCAAAACAGCTAACTAGTTCTCTCGAGGTTACCAGCTGGTAAATGACTGAATTTAAGCAATAATTTGCCTCCACAGCTCATTTATTTTTCAGTTTATCCCACTGCTGCTGTAGACTTTAGGGAAGAGCGTCATAAACTCCCTGGAAGAAAAACACCTGGTTCTAGAATGAGGATCCCTTGTTTTCAGATATTCAGAAACTCTTTTTTACTAAAAAGATTAATCCCTCTGCTCCCATTGCATTATAGTTAGGTTCAAGTCTTTCTGAAATCTTAGTTATGTTTGTGGTGGGTTCAGAAGAGCTGCCCTTATCCTGATAAATGCCTGTATACTTACTAATCTGGATCAGATACCTCTGGACTTCCATTTCTTCCCCTTTCCCCTGGATCCCACCACTCTGGATATTCAGTAGACCATCATAATACAAGACTACATGAAAGGATAGGACAAGTCCTTTTGGAGCAAAAAAATCAGTTACAGTACACATGACAGAAATTAAATCTTACAGAATTTTAGTAGCTGATAGGCTGAGAAACTTGTCTTGAATACGGTACTGTATGCTGAGAGAGATGCCATCAGGCCAATGTAACCAATAAATAGAATGACAGTACACAAAGACACCAGGAGACAGTAGAACGTGCCTCCTCTAGTTTGCTTCATACTGATGCTTAAGATTTGATGGTTATTTATCAATCCCAAGTCTTTCTTTTCTGTCTTAGTCTTTTTCCTTCACAGGGACAAAAGTACCTAACACCTGTAATTTAAAAGGAGGAGAGGTTTATTTTGGCTCACAGTGGCAGTCCATGATTGGCTGGCTGCAATGTAGAAACAGGAGACTATTGGGAGGAAAGATGTTCAAACTATGGCAGCCAGGAAGCAAAGATAAAGAGAAGGAGAAAAGGACAAGAATACATCCATCCAGGTTACATCACCAGTCCCACTTCTAACCAGGCCCCTCCTCCTAACAGGACATTGAGTGCTGAACTCCAATGAATCCATGGATGGAGTCTCATACCTCCATGGTCTAATCACCTTCCAAAATCAGAATTTTAGAGCAATTTTTAAATCTAAAGCATTGCATCCCACATCCAATATAACATATTGGGAGAAAGGGATAGAGATATCTTCTTATCCAGTCTCTCAACAGTTTTAGTCACCCACAGCCAACCGGGATCCAAAAACAAACAAACAAACAAAAAAATACAGTACATTATAAAAAGATGCCTTGGAAGAGAAAAATAACTACCACTATTAAATATACTATTATAATTGTTCTGTTTGATAATTAGCTATTTTTAACCTCTGTATCCAATTTATAGATTAAACCTTATCAACTTTATCATTGGTATGTGCACATAGGAAAAAATAATATATCACACATCCGCTGAGAGTTTTAGAAGATATCTTTTGTGGATAAGGGAAGATTATAGCACTTCACTTTTTTAGTCTTTATATATCAGCATAAATCTGGTCATTCAATATTTATTTCATATTATATTCATTTAATGCTTATTTTTTGCCACCGGGTTTTGAACTAAGAAGTTTTAAAATGTTCATTAAAAATGCAAGAAAAAAGAAAGAAAAGTGAATACTATAAGAAAAATCTGGAGTCCAAAAACTAATTTTCTAGTCTCAGAATTTATCTTTAGTTGGCTTAGTCTAGTTTGTAAATATAATTATTCTCCTAATCTCCACTGTGATCCACAAATATCTGTAAACATACACTGTTTACAAAATTGATTATGTAGAAACAATTGGATAATAGAAGTTAGGTTTTAAAATAGGAAATTTAGGGCATGGAAGCAAGGGAAAGTTGAACAGAAAGAGATGAGAGAGACAGGAGAGAAAATCAAAAGCAAGGCAGAGAAAAAGAAAAGAAGGCTTACAGTCCTCCAGTAGCTTTTATGAAAACCTCATCTGATTTATTCTCAACCCAGGACATGCAGGCACAAGTCAAGGAACCTAACAATGCGTGAATATAGAGATTTTACAGTTGGCTGAAAGAAAAATGCTCGCGACCTGTGAAACAGCTGGCATCCTGGGAACAACAAAGTTATTACCATTTTTATGTGTATTTTTTCTGTTATCACCTTTTGCTCATCTACCACCAACTACATTCTGTGTGGGAAAAGACAGGCAGGAATCCTAAAAAGTTTTCCCATCCAATGTGCTTACTTTTAACCCTTTACCCTCAGAAAGCCTTCAAATGTTCAATAATTAATTTTAAAATATATTATTTCCTCATATAATTTATGTAACCTTATGATTAAAATTATGTAATGGTACTATACTTTCAAATTAAATGATTACCTTTGCTTGACCTATGTTTTCACACTCTCAAATTTTAAAACATAAACAAACTTAAAGAGCTACTTATCTGTAATCTTTAATTTCTTTTATTTTCTATACTAGGTATTTTAGATTAGGACATTGCAAAGATGCCTTCCAGTTCCCATATTTATGTTTACTATTCTTTAATTAGAAATAAATACAGAATTTATAACTTGTTACAATGCCCCAAATGATAAGGAATAATGAAATGATTCACATTCACTATATTGTGAAATTTTTCTTATTATGAAAAAATTTTCACATTTAAATGAAACAATGTCTTTATGAGGCCCCTCATTCAAGCCTGTAGGCAGGTGATCTGACCCATTTAAAGTTGACCCAGACAACTCAAAAGTCCCTTTAACACACTAGCCTTGGCTTACCTATTAGACTTCGTGTATGTGCTAATGACCTCAATTTATGATCATAGTTATTTGATGAAAATTTGCTGCCACATTCCTGAAAAAAGAAGATGGTGGTAAAGTAGGAACAGTGCTGGCTAACTGCAACTTTACGGTTCTCAAAATATTTTCTAGAACCTTTTAAATTAGCTCAATACATATAGTACTTTTTTTTGTCAGAGACATCATATAGTTTACCAATTAAAATGATAAGAATAAGATATAAATCTGATAAATAATATCCTTTTGACAGTTAAAATTAATAGGTCAGTAATAAAATATTTTCAATTACATGAATCAATTGTATGCCCAGATTTACCAATGTAGTATTAAATTAGATTCTATTCAAAGAGATTGGAACTTTTTAAATAAATTAAAATAATAAATATTGTGTCTTGTATTTTTTCAATAGATTGGATTCTTCAAAAGGCCACTAAAGAAGAAAATGGAGAAATGAAATATTTTATAAGAGGAATGAATAACTATTATTTACTGATTGGATTCTTCAAAAGGCCACCAAAGAAGAAAATGGAGAAATGAAATACTTTGTAAAAGAAAAGAATAACAATTATTCAAGTGACATATCCTCAGGTTTTCCTCAAATATGTGACAAGAAATTTATAATGTAATCAAAAGCATGGTCACATAACTCAATGTAATCCATCAAGGATTAGTGACTCAGTAAATAACAGATCAAGCATGATCCAAAAAGAATACACAAAAGATATATTTTATAAAGCAATGACAAATATTTTAATTAATTACTCACTTTTTTGAGTAAGCAAAATTACAAAGTGTTTTAAAGAAAAATAATTTATACAAATAGGTTTATATCTTAAGTCACCATCCAAAGTATAGTATTTAAAGAATACAGAGTTTTATGATCATTGATACATTTAATTTTGAACTAATATAAATTAAGATTTTTCCATTGATTCCTGATAGATGGCTATATTCAACTTGAGAGCATTTTTAAATGTCAAGAAATGAATTACTTAAAAGTGATCACTTCTCCCGATTCAAATCAGAATATTTTCCCTAGTAGAATCCATATACAACATGGGCTGAAAAAATATTTACATTATGTTCTGTAATTGGGAATGTTGTTTGTCTGTTTGTTTCCAATATGATTGGAAAATAGTGCAATTGAGTTGATATTTTATGTAATATAGAAATTAAGATGGTCATTGTTTAAAAACAAATGCACTGAATGAATTAATTTAGACTTTTACAGAACATGCTTAAGAGTGATACTGACTTTTAAAACGTGAAACATTTTATGCAGAAAAAAACTTAAAGCAGTTCTGTGTAGGATAAGAGTGATTTATCATGCAAAGCCATATTGTATTGGGGACATGCCAAAATGCTTTTGGTAGAACACATCAGCATAGATGGATAACCCTGAAATGCTAACATCATCTTTGCTGAGCAACTTCTAGAATATTACAAAAAATAGGAGTTTTTCAACTCCTTGGTACAGGGTTCATTTAAACCCGCAAGCTGTGAGAATATGTGTATTTTTCATTTTTAAAAAAGATATTTAATTTCCAAACACATTTACTATTTTCAAGAAAAGGTGTTTTACCAAGAAGTTACTTCAATATTTAAATAGAGCCCTAGAAATGTATTTTGAAGAATTTTGGGTTGCAAGCACAAACAACAGAAAGTTATCACACCTCTGTGTGTGCTTCTTTGTTCTTAAAGTAATTTGTTCAGCTCCTTGAACTCTGCAGCCTCCTAAGGCTCCAGACTGCTCCATTTCTTAGGAAGGTAACAGTGAATGAATATATGTAATGTATGTGTGAACTACTGCTGCAACATTCAATTTCTCCACGTGATTTACTATCATAACATCAGAATCTGTCAGTATCTAAAATGTGCTGAATTTTGCTTTCTTCATGAAAGTCAACAGAGAAACTAACGGCACTGAATTTAATTGTTTGAGTCTAATTTTAAAGAAATGACCTTACGACTCAGAGTCAGTCTGTCTACTGACTGTCCACCTCTATGTCTAAAATCCTGAAGACTTAGAAATGTGACTAGGAGGTGCCAGCATTACCAGAAGTTGGAAAAAGAGATAAATCTTTCTAGAGCTTAGCTATCCGGCTGGTTTGTCATTGTTCTGTAATAATATGCTTTTGGAATCTCTGTCTCTCTCTGTCTCTCTCTGTCTCTCTCTCTGTCTCTCTCTGTCTCTCTCTGTCTCTCTGTCTCTCTGTCTCTCTGTCTCTCTCTGTCTCTCTCTCTGTCTCTCTCTCTCTCTCTCTCTCTCTCTCTCTCTCTCTCTCTCTCTCTCTCTCTCTCTCTCTCTCCTCTCTTCAGGAAGCATTCTTCTACTTGTTCTTTCTTTCCCAAAAAACTTCACTGCATACTCCAGTACTCACCAGCTCAGAAACCTTGCTCTGAGCTCAGCACCTTCTTAGAAGTAAATCAGACTGACAAATTTAAATCCATATTTGCCTGTGTGACTCATAGACAAAGCATTAATTGAACTGTAAATGTGCATATTTAAACAAAATACATTGCTAAGCCAAGGAGGAAAAATAGAAAGGGGAATATTTTGAAATTTTTAGGAAACAGAGGAGACCAGACTTGACCAGATCAGCTAGCTTGCATGGCCATTTGCTCATACAGTTTTTACCATAAATCATACCTGGTTGTATATATCATGAACCAGAGATCCCATTTCTCTAATATGGCAATTTGTTGAGGTAGATACGAGTTTATGTATGTATATACATGCAAGTACATAGGCAGATTGAATACAAAATACCTAAACAATGCCAAGTGAAATTAACACACAAAAGCTTCAGCAGAAAGAAAAGTTTGATTCCTTCACTTTCCATATAGTATTTGTTTTTTATTTATATTTGGGCTTATCTATTTCTGCCAAATACACATGTAGAGGCTTTGATTTTAAAAATAACAGAGGTTCCAAAATAGGTTTGTACAAATATCCTATAACATATTTATAATTAGGAAATATGCTAAGTTCTGTTATTCTATTTTAAAACAATTAACAAGAAATTTGAGTGGTATTTTTTTGGATTTTTATACTTTTATTGACACATCTTAGATATGCATAGTGATAATAGTCATTATATGAAATTTGTACCTGTATGTGATACGTCTTGCTTCTTTTTTTCTCATTCTCTTCTCCTCCCTTTAGTGGGTATTTTTAATAGTGAGTGAAATTATGGGAAAAATTAAATTACCAAAGATTTTTTATTTACCTTTGATAGTTTCCTTAAATGACTATTGACTTCTATTCTGAACATTGCAATGCCTTTCTTGACCAAACTTACAATGGCATACTGGTAAATTATTTAACACCTTGCCCTATAAGAAGAAAAAAAATCTTTGATTTGTTTATTTACCAATTTCCATGGTATAGAAATTCTCTCCATAGTCATTTTTCAGGCCTCCAACATGATAAGCCTAAATAGCTCTTTAAATTCCTGGAAATTTGTTGTTCAGTCCTTACGACCTAGTACAAGCTGACTAGCACATCCCTGAAAAAGATCACATGATGGATAGATGATAGGTAGAGTGATAGATATATCTACATATCCAAGTACACTCAACATGATCATATTTCAAATTATGCTAACCTGCTAATTATATTAAACCAATTTCATTCTGCTACCTAATTTCCCATTCTTCAATGTAAATTTATTAAAATTATAATGTCTCTTTAATATTAATAACGTGATATGAACTTGCAGGAGAAGAGAGGAAGCATTTGAAAGTGAGAAAATGCAATGGAATGTAACCCATATTGAAAATCAGATCTACTCGGCAGCCACAAAGAGACTGTTTTACTTTTTCAAGGAATCCACAGCACTGCAAACAACATTATGACAGTTTATCCTTTATAAATATTTTAACTAACATGATAAAATTTAAATTTTAATGATCAAATGATTGAAGATACTTTCCTCTAAACAGTAGACTCATGGCCAACTTAGTTCCTGAATATTTTCTGTATTGTAAGTGTGCTTGAAAAGAAGCTGTGGGAAGAAATATTTTAACAAAATTTGATGTTTTGACAGCTATGATAATTTTATCTAGAAATGTGTATGTACAGTCACATGCCTACACTGACATAAATAAATGCCCTCTTTCCCTTTTATAAAAACAGACCTAAACTCTGAAATGTTTGCACCAAAAGAAAAAAGTACTTGGTTGGTCAGGAAGTAACACTGAGCTGTGAAAGAGATTGTGAGAAGCCCTGGTCTGTGGGGCCCTTGCTTGCATGCTGTGAATAGCAACCCATCCACTTCCAAGTGGTGCAGTTGTCCATAGGCAGTGCCTTGGTTGAACAAACCATCAACTCTGCGTGAATTGTCTGTCTCATTCTGCACAACACTAAGCAACCTAGAAAATGCTGGGGCCCAAATCCTGTCTCATGTGCCACATGCAGTCATGTCATGGTCCAAATAAATGGTTTCTGGTAAATAAATTGCTAAAAAAAAAAACTTGTATCTATGCACTCCTAATTGATTTCTAAAACCACTCAAAACCTTACCTACTCCGCTCTAGTCTTCTACCCAAATAAGAGATTTTCAGGAAAAGTCTGTTCATAAAGCATGTGTACTATTTTCTGTGCATGCCAGCTTCAGTGAATTGTCTATTTATACAGCATTTCCAGCCTCAAAGTTGCTATGGTATAATGTAGCAGGAGCAAAGTTAGTGTGTGTCAGAGATGCAACACTCTAAGAGATTTACAAACTACATGGGTCCCTATCAGCAATGATGTTAATAATCTATGATTCTCATCCTCGCTGTGGAAGTATTTAAAAAACTAAAGAGATGGGCCTTTGTTTCGAACTAGTGCTATGTTTTTTTTTTTTAAATGTATGATTTAATTGGAAACACAACTTCAAGGTGAATCTTCTGGATACTTGTTTCCAACCAGAGAACTGTGCCAAAACCCCTTCCACACAGAAATCCTGAAACTACCACTGGACCTTAACTGTGTTACTGCACAGTGAAAGGAAGCCCAAAGCACATTGCAAGAGGCTAGGGTGGGGCCAGGACTACTGGTCAGGATAATTGTTCAAGTGCAGCTTATGCAAGGCCTCAGGTTTGGTCTTTGGCACCAAAAAAGGCAGTTGGGGGTACAAGGTGCTACCTGTTGCTGTTTCCCAAATGAAAGTCTGTTGTACACCATTATTATTCAGAACAATAAAAATAGTATTAAACCATAACATTATAATCCAGTGAAAAACTCATTGCCTTTTATTCATATATTGAAATTTACCTTAAATTTGGAAATTCAAAGCAACTTAGGTTTTTCAACCTTGAATTCAAAATATCAGCCTTTATCTATCAACCTTGAAGAAAATGTAAAGCTGCGTATATTGGCTCCTAAGTCCTGGCCTGATTGTCTAGGACAGAATCTGGTGCCCAGGAAGTCCAGTTCCTAACTGATGAGGATGCATCTTTCCCTGAGTTTAACTCCTGAATCCTCCACTCTTCTGCAAAGATCAGTATCTTCTTCCTGATTCCTTGATTTGAGAGCTGTTCGTCTTGTTTCTGTTGTTATTTTATATAAAATTCTTGCCCTTGTGGCTAATGAATTGAAAACTTTACACGAGGCTTCCTTACATTTCCCTCTTGTCACATGTGGGAGAATCTCAGGGTTAAGAGGACTGGTCAGCAGGAGCTGGACCTTCATTGCAGGAGCACTCTACCTTCTGCTTGCTAGCTGGTTTTTGGCACATCATGGGGATGTCTGATTCTCAGCTTCCTCAATGAGGTCATTCCATGCTTTCTGTCCTTGCAGGGCCTTGGTCTATGGCATGTTATTTTATTATGAACAGAGACTCAGAGATTCTTTAATTATCTGTCACGTCATAGCAATTGGAGCACTAAACCAGGAGACAATGACATTCAAAGTTGTGATTGCATTTGGTTTTTACCTTATGTCCAGCAACATTCTTATTTTAAAAAACAGTAAGTATGGAATTTCTGAGCCATACTGTCACAGATGGAGACTTAATGATTATTCTTTTATTTCAGTTTGATTTATACATATACACATAGAAACAAAATTTTAAATCTTCCTGATGACACTAGCATGAATGTCAGTTGTGTTCTTGAATGATTCTTTATTGTAATTACCTGTTCCCACCACTGGCTTTTAAGAGGTGGAGAGAGATTAAATGGAGAAAATGTGAAGGAGTATAGTTTTTCCTTTCCTCCATATAGTAGCGAAACAGAAGGAAGAGCCGGGTGTCACCACTGCCAGGTGACAATCTCTCTGTCATCTTTCTACAGACTGAAGAAAGACTGAAAAGAAATGGGAATGGGAGTGATCATGAAATTATTTTATTTCCCATGTCTACATCCTTGCCCTCAAACTTCCATATGCTTTCTGAGACCACATGTAGACCTGCCACCGTACTAACACCTAAACTTTGCACAAATAAATATATTCATTAAATAAAAGCAAGAGTATATTACCTGACACTAACCTGGGCTAATATCTTAAGTTTAACCCACTTTGAGGTCAAGTAAACATAATCGTGTGAAGCAGTGCCCCTTAGAGCTTCTTCATTCTGGAACTATTTTACATAAAAGATCTTGTTAGACTTTTCTTGTTCACACCCCTAATTCCCTTACTCAGGATGCAACAGAAGCTTCGTACTCCTACTCAGAAACATCAGCCCTACCAACTGTACACTGTGTGTCACTACTGTGAGTCTGTAAAATTGTTAATTGACAGTATAAACAATTATATCCAATTTATTCTACAATTATATATATATATATATATATATTATTTTAAAAATAATGCCTATAACACATGACTACTGCCCTGAAATGGCTATCATCCATATACACTTCCAATAAAACTTTTCTGCACAGCCTAACATAAAATATATATCATTACTCTTCTTTTAAAAAATTACCTCACCCTAAACTCTTTAAATAACTTGAGGGTATGTGACTTTCCAAAAGACTTTTGTTGGATAAACGCCTTAGAAGAAAATGCTCAAGAACAAACAAGTACAATCTTTATTAATGTTACTAATTTATTATGTGCCTAATTTAAACCCATTTTAAAAAGAAAACAGTTATCAAGTAAAGTTACTTGAGCTGATATAATTAGAAATAGCTGAGAGTGTAAAAGAACATTTTGAATGTCCTATGTATGGCATATCCTGTATGCTGATTTGAGGTCAGAGTTTTGATATTTTTGTATAATTATATCTTATCTTGTGCATCAGCTGTGTATTTTACGTCAAGGTAAATAAGCATCCTGTTTTGTATGTTGAATAAAAAATGATTCAAAAAGAAATGTGAC